CGGTTGTTTGATAGTTGGACTACCCCTCCTCATCTGAAACCTGCTATACTGTTGGACCTGTTCATTTTCAGGCCAACATGAAGGGAGGTTTAGAATTCTTGCAGGAAGGGGCCTCCCAGTTATGTTGCTTGGTCTGGTTTCCCCCATCTAGTCCAATATCTAATGATAGTTGCGAAGTCCTGCACCAGTTGATGGTCTATCCCACTATTTAAAGGGTTTCAACATGTTTCAACCGTCCAAGTTCAGTGCAGGATTTCTTCCATCCACAGTAAATCTACCATCAATTCAACACTTCGCCGAGTGATTTGAACCAACTTCGGATGGTGTCAGGCCCTGTGGCAACCAGCGAGGCCGTGGTGGTGGACACTTGGTGAGATCTAAGGGAAACGCCCAAGTTTTACACGGCATCCCTGTGGATTCAAAGCAGGCTTTGGAGAGATTAACTTGGGATACTTGGGATTTTTGGGATTTGTTGCAAGTGATCTATAGCCTCTGGTTATGACATGTTATGACTAACAGTTTGCCATGGTTAAGCCATGGCCCTAATCGAAATAGATGGTTTACCGTTCTTAATAGCATGGTGATTTTCCATGGCGAACTGTTAGTCACAACCAGATGGTAGATGAATTCGAACAAGGATTGACCTTTGCACATCGATGGTTCAGTGGTTGCCTTCCCATCGTTACCTTCGATCGGCGGCCGGGATTCTTGCCTCGCCATTCCAATCATCCACCAGATGTTACACCATAATGGTGGATAACTTCTTGGGTCCCTTGGCTACTTTTCAAAAACACATACCCTCTGATAAACGTTTACATAACTATATAGAAAATCACCATATTTTTCATGGGAATATTCACTCTTTCTATGGTGATTTTCCATAGTTATGTAACAAATTACCAGATATAAAATGGCCATAGATTCCACTCGATTCCGTTGAGACCATCGGATGATTGTTGTCTTTGCGAGCCGGATTTTTTTCCCCCCGGCTGCCCTTCAGCTGTTACTAAGAAATTAAATGATGCTTGGTAAAGGAAAACATCCCAAATATCCACATGCTCCAGACGTTTTGAAATACCTCCAAACATCTAGCCATTTCCACGAGCAAATGAATCGCCAAGGAAACCTCTGGAGACTTCGAAGAGGTTATCCATTGGGGATTGTTCGGAAAACTTGGGAATGATATGGAATGATGTGGCTATGGATCAATACCTATGAAAATATACCATTTTTAGTGGGTTATTCACATCCATTTTAACCCAGCTATTTTGATGTGAACAAAACAGGGGTACTATTGGTTTTGACACACTGGAATGATGTCCTGAAAAAGTTGTGATTGACGGAGAAAAAAAACAATGACGTCACCAACATCGGTAATTTTTTAAATTTGAGGGAGAAAAAGCGGATATCACCAAGTAACATTCACACGGGAAGGGGGCGATATACCGAGAGAACCAACATTGCTGTAAACAGAGGGGATTTGAGCGATACCCTCTGGTTATTTAACATAGCCATGGACAATGGCCCGTCTATAGATGGTTTACCTATTGAACATGGTGATTTTCCATGGCTATGTTGAATAACCAGATGGTATTTTTTGAGATCATATTGAAAGAGCTTGGGGATGTCACAAATACTGGGATTCCAAAGAGAATCGGGATTCAGCAGCAAGAATAAACAAAAACATGGGGACACAATCGCCAAGAATCTGAACAGGTCGACAGATGATTCAAGGATTTCTGTTTTAAAAGCGGATGATTTTCCGCGGAACATGGCGATTGACATGGCTTCTATATGTTACACGGGAAAAAATGACATGGCATAGCTGGCTCAAAAAGACATCTATATCTACAGGGTGGGGCCCCCGTTCGATAGCGTTCAGTTGGTTTGTTTATTTTTGTGGCCGAAAAAACCATGGTTTATGGTAGATATAACTATAGTAAGTATTAACGAACTAGTATTCATGGGGATTATGTCATGGTTTATAAACCAACATTCACATCACTGGGGGGCCCCCATCCTGTTTTCCATTGTCGGGTTAGATCTCCAGGGCAAATTGGTGGTTCCCAGCTTTCGATGAAGGGAACAATGAGCGAAACCCTTTCACAAATGGGAACAGACACATATAGACCGACCCATAATCAATTGGTTGAACCAATATATCACTAATATTGCACCAACATATCACCGGTTGGATGGATGATATGGCCTTTATCCATTTTTTCACCACCAGATTCCTGGGAAGCCACCCCAGCTCCTCAGGATGCGGCTTCCCCACGGGAGGCGAAGGGTGGGTTCTGGTTATCTTGGGGATGGTTTATGGCATTGTGTTCATCAATCAAAACACTAAGGAATTAACCAGGGTAATATGGGGTTGATGACCATCAAAAGTTCAGAGCCGGCTTACTGTACCCACTCACTTTTGTGGGTTCGTAACATGTTAGAACCATGAAACATGGTGTGAGTTTGCGTGGTTCACAACCAGCGTTAGTTGACCCGGATGATCGGATATCCCGCACGGTGAACCCGTCAACGTTTATCAAGGTATCCTAAGGTATCCAAATTCCATCAGCCTGGGGCGAAATTCAGAGAGTTTTGGTACATTCTTAGATGATTTATGATGATTTGGGATCTTCTCTGGGAATTCGGAATTTTGAAATCGCCAGGCGTCAGGTGACTTGAACTAAATGAAGAGTTAGCAAATGAATCAAATGGTTTCACTTTTTGAATGCCACTCATGATAATGCGGCCCAATACTGAACCCCAAAATTTCCAGAAATAGTTTAAGATCCAGTCTCAAGTGGGAGGTTTTTCTTGTTGGATTTGTTGGCTTTACCACATCATTCATCCCAATTTCTGTGGAAAGTCAAAGGTTGGAATCTTCTGCACATTTTTTAACTTTTCGATGGCGATCGATTGAGTCCAACAAAAAAATATGCATCCAATACGAAAAACCAGGATTTCTCTATAGAGGTGCTATATTGATGATAAGGGGGATTACATTACTATTACTATCACATGATTAATTTTCTCCATTTTCATCCTCATGAAGATCTACCGAGTCCAAAAATCCGAGATGTCATCTCCATTACTCATACAACAGAAAGAGAAGAAGTCATCATTCATTTGGATAATTTATAACATGTTTTCACTATAAATTGGTATGTCACCATGTGGTAAATCCCATTTCATTATTATAAATTCATTGTTGTTTGTTATTTTCCCATTACCCTCCGGTAATTTACATAACCATTGAACATGGTCATTGAGTTCGTTGATTTACCGAACTCAAACATGGTGGATCTTTCCAGTTCGCTATGCAAACGTTTACCGGAGGGTAAGATGTGTTCACGATGATATCACTGTAGTATACGTAGTCATTGGATGGTTCAATGCCGATGACCAGCCACATCTGGGTAAAAATTGATACCCAAAATTCGTTTCATTGGTCGGCAAATCCACCCAGACAAGGGTCATTTGGGTTTGAGCTATGTATATACAATATACATCTAAAACCACCTGCCGCGACTCGACATGTTTGAAGATGGGGCGATTCAAACATGGGATTTATATGGATTTATTAAGCCTAACTGACTTCAGGGGTTGGTAACTGTCCCATTTTGGGTATATTGGACATCACCTTATAGTAGCCATCAAAAAGACCATATACCGATTTTGGTTGGGTGATGTGAAAAATGGGGACATTTAATGACCCTAACTGACTTTATATGGATGTGCTGTTGAGCTAATTGTGATCTCAGTGAATCAAATTCAGATGGTCATAGTCCAATAAGATGATTCGGCAAACATGAATGATGTGTTTTGATGTGTTACAAGTCGTGGTGCCCCCGTTGACGACGATATAATTTGCGTTCAGTTGGTGTGTTTATAACTCCAACGTTCACGATGGTTTATGGTAGATATATCGAACTACTATTCCTATGGTTTCTGTTAACCAACGTTCACATCACTGGGGCACAGCCATAAAATAAGGGATCACCAAAAAACTGTCATCAGCAAAACAGTAATGATTAACATCAACAGTAATGATTAACATCAGCAGTAATGATTTTCACATTGTGATGATTGTTATGATGTGTTACCCTCTAGCAAATTAACATAGACCCTGCCATTCATCGGGGTTGGAAGATGAGTGAAACCACTCAAGATGGGTGATTTTCAGGGTCCAACTGTTAATTTACCAGAGGGTACCATTAACAGTCATCCCTTAACTTATCACCATTAATAGTTATACCGAGTTATACCTATGGTGATCCCGAACATCTGCATCTATCCGCAGCTGCTCATGACCGCAGTGCAAAGATGGTGAGTTTTGCAACAAAAAGTGGGTTTATAAAGCCATTGAACTCGGGGAAAGTGAAATCTTATCAGCAACAAATCAGAAGTTCGCTGATTTTCATCAACGTGAATGCGGAATTCATCAACCCACACTGTATATATATATACTATCACTATAATTATAATATATAAATATACTATATATATAACTATACATATATGAAACTGCCAGTTTCATCATCCACTGAACTATAAGAAGACACAGGAATGATGGGCAAATGACGTGTTACGTCTTTTGCAGACGTCATGATTGCCCCTGGAATCCCTCCACTAGCCACAGGTTGAGGACATTAGGATCTCCAATATGTGGGGAAATGAAGGCATTTGGAAGGCTTGATGCACACAATGGACAGTGATGCACCCAACACTAGGGGTTTCACAAGCCATTTTTTAGTGGTTGATGGGGGCCAAAAGCCACATTTTCCTTCAATCACTCAAAATATTGCCGTCTGGCTAGTTGACATAGCTAAGGAAAATGGTCCATTTATAATTACAATGATTTACCTTTTATATAAACATGCTGATTTTCCATAGCTACCTTAAAATAACCAGAGGATAACCATATCATTAACCAAGGAGGTTCGATAACCTGATATGTTTAATAAAGCTTAATATCCATTAGTAGTGGTTAATACATAGCCATGGCGCAGTTTTTCCCTGCCATGCTGTCCATCCTCTGCCTCTACGCCACGAGAGCGGCGGCAGATGGAGGTGAGTTTAGAGCCTGGGTTGCAACGGGAGATCTGGGTCCAAAAATGGCGGTTTTCGCTGGTAAAAACATGGAAACATCATGGACAAATCATGGAACACTATGGCAAAACCCATGATTATTCCATGATTATTCAATGATGGGAACGATGAACGTCCCATCATTTTCCCATAAACGGAGGTTTCGTTCGCTGTTTTCAAACATCGAAGGATTCTATGGGCCGATTTCGGGTCGCCATGATGGATGACCGGGTCGATGGGCGAAGGGAACGGAGCGGTTGGGCCAGGGGTAGATATTCTTCCCGATGAAAAATGCGGAGCCGGTTGTTACAAATAGAGTTTCCCAACCACATAGATAAAATTCATGGGGACAATGATATTTCTAAGATTTTGCCATGGGATTTTGGTGTTCTATTTTTTTTAGAGTCAAAAAAATACGGCCTCAGAGGTAAGTTAACATGTGGGTATGGCTCGAAATGATTGACCAGTTCCCCAATTTTTGACCAGGGTTTCTTGTGGGCGTCATGGCTTACAATACTTCTAGAAATAGACACACATACAAAATCATACAAAACGAAGGTTTCCAAGGTTTTGCAAACTAGTATTGTCACTTTACATTTCCATCTGGTCATCAAACTAAGATTTCTGGTGCTATAAGATTTCCGGGGTCTCTGAAATGGGCCATTCCAGAAACGCTGAGGAATGGAAAGTGACGAAGAGATTGGCATCCACAAGAGTATCCTCGAGGCTGCTCAGAGGCCTAAGCTTAGGGCGTGCCACCGAGTGGAACAGCAATGCTACTGGGAATCAAACGCTGCCGGCTGGCAAATCAACTTTGGAAATAGACACATCATTTGTTGCCATGGAATTTCATTGTTTTTCGATGAGACTTAGCCAGTAGCATTCCAAATTTTGATTGAAGTTCCATGGAATTTCTACAGCCGTGTCATGTTCCCATGTTGAGTACTGTACAAGCCGTCGCTCCACAAGTGATTCCAGCCCCATTGGCCCCATCTCAAATCTATGGGTCATGGGTCTGTCCAAAAATAATGGATACCCTCTGGTAATTTCACGTAGCGAACTGGAAAACCACCAAATTTTATATCTATATAGGTAAACAGGTAAATGTTAACATATTTTTACCATCTATTGTCATGGGCCATGGCTTCCACTCTAAATGTGCCATGTTTCTTCCATAGCCATGTTAAATCCCAGCAATCTTTGATGAAAACCATGGGGCTTTTCTGCAGATTTTCCCAGCAGCCGTGACAGGGGAGATGTCACAGCGCAGTCCTTGCTGGGACAGGCCAGTGGTGGCCCTTGCTGGTGGCCTGGAGCGGGAAAGCTGAGCTGTTGGGGTAAATGATGGTTAGATCCCTTATATGGTTAAGATAAATATGGTTATTAATCATAAATGATAAATATAATAATTAAGAACCTAATATGATTAAGAACCTAATATAAATATGGTTCTTATCATATTATCATGATTAAGAACCTAATATGGTTTATTTATTGGGGTAATGATGGCCCACTTCATGATAAAACCACTTATATTTGATTAAAACACCATTTTATAATTAAAGTGGTTTTAATATGTTTTAATTTGTTATTTTTGTATGGGGCTATCATTCCATAAATGGGGTGGCTTACTGACTTATATCTGGTAAAGGGCCTTACCTCACCGGGTAGCTCCAGGAGGAGCATGCCAAAGTGGATGAATCAATATTTCAGCCATATGGATTCTCAGAGTTTTTTTCCAGCCCCTAAAATTTAATACCTCCCTATATAAACATTATAAACCCATGTTTTTTAGTACTGGATCTATCAGTCACTCTTCATGTTTAGGGTATCTGCCGGCCTGGGTATCTCCTCTGAGCAGCATCTTGACAGATTGGAGGAAGGGTCATCCCGATAAATCCATTTTGCTACGGATTCATCTAGCCATTTTTTGGAATGGAATCCCCGATGGTGAGATGACTAGGGGCACATTGCCATCCTATCCAACTTGAGATACCCTCTGGTAAACTAACATAGCTATTGAAAATGGTGATTTATAGTGGATTTTCCCAGTAAAAATGGTGATTTTCAATAGCTATGCTAGTTTACCAAATGGTACCCTCCAAATCACATCAGGATGACTACAGAAGGGCCATGTTGGGGGAGCAGCACCCCGTCTGTGCCCTGTGACTGGGCAGGACTACTTCTATGGAGTCCATGGGGTGGCAAAGGATACCCACCTGGGACTTCACTGGGCCACCAAAGCAGCGGATGCCGATGACAGGTGTGGCGATGTGGAAGGTTTGGAAGGTTTGGAAGGCTTCGTTGGGAGGTCAGTAACCATGGCAATAATGAGATGTAATATAATAGTAATGTATAATGATAGTAGATACTAAAGATAGGATTATGATGATACTAATTAATAGTAGCACTAATAACACTGATAATAGAACATAACGACAATAACAGCGATAATGATAATGCCGATAGTAACAATAATGATAAGCTCATATCCAACTATTCCTATTATCATTATTATCGTTCATATAGCTCATAATCCCATATCCCATGATAGTAACAACAATGGGATATGGGATTACTATCATGGGATATGGGATTATGAGCTATATGAACGATAATAATGAAATAGGAATAGACTTTTAAAACAATGCCTTGAAACTTTTAAAAGTCTGTCTATTAATGGGATTCCCACAGTGGGCCCCCTTTTTCAAAAGGGGCAATCGGATGCACATCCAGTTTTCTGTGACTGTTGGTTTATATATGCCTACCCAGCGCACAAATATATATATATATACCATTATATACCATTACACTTATATAGCTATACCTATTTAACCTAAGTATGAAACAACTGAACTATCAGAAATTGTATTTTTCTTTCTTAGGTTCATTCAAATTATTTCAATGGTTTAGTCCCAATTTCCTGCAGTTTTGATCGCTTTCAAACAATTTCCCCATCATGTTTGATGGTTCAATCTTGATTTTCCTGTCACCAGTCAGTTCCAGCATCAGGGATTCGCAAGAGTTGCTGGCCACCGCATTTGGTCGTGGGCATCCAGACGTGCCAGCAGATGCAGGCTGTGAACTTCGTAGATGATTTGTATATTTGGATGTATAGATCTGATGTTGGATAGATATGGATAGACCATTATATAACCATAAAATAACCATCATATTAACCATTATTAACACTATATTAACCACATATTAACCAGGATAGATATTTTCACATGGTTTCTTGGGAGATTTATGGGAATTTTCATATTGATGAATCAACTTGACTTGATATGTTGCTGTGTCTGTGGTATATACCCCCTGATGAATCGCCGTTTTTTTCGGAAGGGACGATGATGATTCACCAGAGGATTTGAGGCCGCCTCTTTTCAGACATATAGAGAAACGTAGAGAAACGTATACTGCTTGGTGGCTTGGAACTATGGTAATTATGGTATAACTATGGATTATGATCATTATAATTAATAACTATGACTTGTTGGTGGTTTGGAACATGAATGGATTATGACTTCCCAACTGACTTTCACTCAGATTTTTCAGAGGGGTTACCACCAACCAGTATAAGATACTGGACTTAACTGGTGAACAGGTTACAACTCTACTAGAGGATTCATATCGGAGAGAGATAAGGAGTTGGCACCACACCACCTCTGATAATTCTTCACCATACTTTCCCATCAATGGCTATTTGACGCCTTTATATATATAATATATATATACCATATATTATATATATACACGTGTATATAATAATAACAATAACAATAACAATAATAATAATAATGATAATAATAATAATAATGATAAAAACAAATATACATACATACATCCAAATGTTGGGATGCCTCCAATTTTTAAAGCCTCGTCAGCACCAATTCAATGTGCGGGGCTTCGCCGCAGGTCGTGCCGTGGAGTATGGAACCAAAGCCGCTGAGCAGGGCAGTGTGAAGCGACTCGACGCTAAAATCGTCAAAGGCTGAGGAATCCCTGGGCTAATTGGAGGTTTAGTTCGCTGGGATTAGAAACTATCTGGTTGATAGTTTGGAACATTTTTGATGGGGCTTAATGGTGAGAAGAATAGTGGCTTAGTGCTGATTAAACCATATATCTGGGTAAATTTCATCACGACCTCACTGTGACCGAACCCTGGAATGATGGCTAGTTTTTGGGACATTTCATCCCCATTCATGGCCTTTCACTATTCAGGTTGGTGAAATATTATGATTTATTTACCCAGCCCTATAGATAAGCCTATTAAATATCCTATAAATGGAGCTTTGAATGGAACAATCATCTATAAATCTATTGTAAATGATGGATTTTCCTGCCATGTTTGCAACCAAAGGTGTCGGGAGGTGACCATCAGTTTCTCATTACCCTGTTAGTAAAATGACATTTTTGTTAAGTGTTGAAGAATTCAAATGATTGTTACTAGTTGAATCTAGCTGACTAACAGTTGACTATAGCTATATATCTATATATCTATATATAGATATCTATATATCTATATATCTATATATCTATACATCTATACATCTATATATCTATATATCTATATATATATTATATATTATGTCCATAATAACTAATGATGATAAAACTAGTAAGTGATGGGTACCATCTGGTAATTTTACATAGCTATCAAAAATCACCATTTATAATAGGTAAATCATCGAACTAAACGGGCCATGGCTTCCATAGCTATGTGAATTTTCCAGAAGGTAATCAGTATCAAATTGAATTATATCCACTATAGTAAATCGATCCATGTTCTATATATCCATATATTTATAGTCTATCATATTTATCTATTGTTACGGATCCATTTACTGTTTGGTACTTCGTGGATTCTCCACGTCCTGGGAAAATGATTGGATAATGATCGGAGACCCGAAGAAACTCATTCCCCATTGGAAGCTGCCATTGAATTGGGGTCCAATTCAATTTTATTGGACCTTAAACCCTGAAACATACACTATGGAAAAATTCACAGTTGGACCCTGGAAATGACCAATTTTTAGTGGAAACTAATCTTCCAACCCCCATCTGCCAGGGTCTATGTTAATTTACTGGAGGGTATATTTAATCATATTTCGCTAAGGGGGCTGACGTTTGCCCGGAATGCACGGAATGCCATGCGGGACAGACAACCGTGAGCAAACCCTAAAACAACCCTAAACAGCACGAAAATTAACTAAACAAACCCTAAATAAACCCTAAACAAACCCTAAACAAACCCTACAGAAAATCTAAAACAACCCTAAGCAAACCCTAAACAAATCTGAAATCAACCCTGAACAAATCACAACGTTCGCCTAAACCCATGAAACTTTGGGCGAACTAAACTCGCTCCGGAGGGTCATATTTATATACACTATAGACATTTCTTCATTCTTATTTTCAGTAACAGATATAACATATGAATTTCCTGCCGCAGTCCAACCCTCCAGTTTGTGGAATTGACGTCCGAGCTGCCGTGCTGGCCATTGCTGACCTAGGTCCGCCGAGCTGCTCGGGAAGTTGTTCTACAACGGCACAGGTCTGGAATTTTTGTGCCTCGTTTGGAATTTGGATGGATAAATGGTGGTGCCCTGTGTTTGTTGGTTTATAGACCCGGATACTATGACATTATTTACCAAGATTTGTGGATATTAGTCAACTAAATATCCAGTGATTCATGGGATTTATGGAATTTAATATCCATTAATATCCACAAAGTTGGGAAAAGTTTACGATAGCGTTCAGTTGGTGCCAATACCTCCAATTTCACTATGGTTTATGGTACCTATAACGAACTAGTATTCTAATGGGGTGAATCTAAACCATCGTTCCATCAGGGGCCCCACATTGTTGGATGTACACCCCACTAATTAAGAGGAGAACAATGATATGACATGACCCAGGTACCCTCTGGTTATTTAACATAGCCATGGAAAATGGCCCATTTATAGATGGTTTACCTATTAAAAATTGTGATTTTCCATGGCTATGTTAAACAACCAGAGGGTATGTGATACCCTATTTTTACAGTGGTTACTTACCGTTTATTAATTGGGACGCACCCCCAGGTAACAAGGAAAATATGGGGAGTTGGAGAACAGATTGGGAAAAAAACAAAAGCAACATGTAATCTGTGAATTTCGTTCGAATACTTCAGCATACTCCAGCAATATCTGTGTGACCATCATAGGGATTCCATCAATGAAGATCTAACCAGCAACAAAAAAACAAAAATAGAACTAAATATGTGTTGTGTTGGTCCAAAAATAAGGGCTTTGACGGGAATTTTACCTGGGAAAATTGTGATAAACCGTAAGATTTTTGCTACCTGATTTTTGGTCGAAAAACACATATATTATGGGAATTTCAACAATTCACATGTTGGAGCACTTTGGTCGGAAGACAAAATATAGATAACTATTCATTTTTTTTTCAACATGTAACCTCATGATCTATTAATTATTTGCGCCAGGATCTACAATCAACAAATGGGACCATAATGGAAATATACTATCCTTAGTACGCTTTGGCATCTTGTGGGTAAAAGAACTTATGAGCGTTTTTGAGTTGTTCAGTGGTCTTGGTTGTCAGAATTCTCCTAAACACGTGTTTGTAATGGAGGTGAAACACTTAAAATTCATGGATTGATTCAAGGGTACTGGTTAAACCACGTAAAACAATGTTTTGATGGGGGTTAGTTACTGTTTTTTTGGACACCAAAAACCATTTTTCTGTGACGAACCAGCTGGAATCGCACCTTTGGGCCATTTTACAGTGCCCAGGTTCATGACCCATACCCATACACGGACCCCCTCTCATTGTGTTTATCATAAGTCGGTTTCTAATCCTATCTGCTATACATATAGATATGTATAATATATAGTATACATATAACATCATATAACGATATATCTATCCAATCGTTACTCTGGTGACAAACTAAGAGGCCTCAGACCTTTGGGGGGCCAATATTGTATGAACAAACATTACTTCGAGTTTCTATGAACCTCCACACCCCGCAGCGAGGTCACAAGAAGAGCGAATGCAGAAGTCATTCAAGTGGTTCCTTGGGCGAGTTGGAAGGACTGGAAAAACCCGGCTACAGATTGGAGAAATCAACGGGTGGTTTGCCGCAGTTTACGGAGCAAACTTCATGTAGCTTCTCACCTCCCTATTTTTTATATTCAGCACATCTGTTTGCCACAGGCATTTGAAAGTGTAGGTGTTCGCATCCAGAAACAGAATCAGAATCCCTACTATTTTACTGCTGTTAGAATGTTATCCATTTTGAATCCATGTTCAAACATCATTGACATTTAGTTAAGCTTCTGATTCTCTTTCATCAGCTTTTCAGTGATGTTATACATCAGGCCCTCTGGTAAACGTTTACATAACTATGGAAAATCACCATTTTTCATGGGAAAATCAACTATTTCCATGGCCATGTTCAATAGCTTTTTGCATGTTTACCAGAGGGTATATAGACTATATATATATATATCTACCATATCTACCATATCTACCATATCTACCATATCTACCATATCTACCATATCTACCATATCTACCATATCTACCATATCTACCATATCTACCATAAACCCATAAATGCTATAGATATCTACCATATCTATCGCTTAAAAACCCATGGTCTCCCGTCGCTCCATCGACTCTACAGGTTTCAGCGCGCCGCCAAAGATGGATCTCTGGGCGCCATGAACGACCTCGGAGTGGCCTGGTGGTTGCTCCCGTGTTAAACAGGGCTGCTCCAAGCATTTCAGAACTGGTGGTTTGTGCCATTGGGGAATTATAGGAATTATAGGAATTATAGTACCCATATAAATCCATATAATATATATTGCCAAGAAGATGTTGACCACGCAGGAATTTTGTGGTTTACAAGCCATATATAAGCCATGATACAATCTAACTGGAAATGGTTCAATATATATCTGGTTGGTGCTTTGGAACATGACTTGTATTTTTCCATCATATGTGGGATGTCATCCTTCCCCACTGACTAATATTTTTCAAGATGGTTATTGCACCACCAACCACTATATGGTAACCGTAGATTATAGCCACAACCGGGGGGTAAATTGGTACTTTTACCATCTTTTACCTCTTGATTTTACGAAATTTACAAGAATTTTCACCTTTTGGATGTTTGAAGCAAGCCTTTTTCTAGCCGGATTGACCCCAAAACAGACTGGTTTTTTAACTGGTAGAGACGTTTGAAACAGCCATTTTTTATAAGACCACCCTTGAGCAATCAATAGGAGATTTACCCCCAATCAGTGGACCTGTCCGACTGGTGAAATTCAGACGCGAAAATGGATTCTCCAACGAAAATGGATGACAGCTCACAGGATTTTTTCAGGAATCTTGCTTAGAAAGCGGTTTTTGGTGAATGTAGCGACATGTTGTCCCTAAAAATGCCATCGTTGCAGGGAAGCTGTGAAATGTGCATGGGATGGTCTGGGATGGTCTGGGATGGTCTGGGATGGTCACCAATTTCCCACTGGGTGGCATCTCACTGATGAAAGTCTGACTGGGCTTAATTTGAATGGTAAATATGGGTAAATCACCCGTAAATCACCTGACTGGGTGCAATGTTACTTTGGGTTTCGACTTTAGGTCCTAGACATGTTGGACCTACAAGATGGTGCTCCCCCAGTGATGTTTGTTGGCGACAATAAACCTTATCCATAGAGATTAGCCTACCATAAACCTAACTGTTGGGTTCTATGGTTCTATGGTTGGCATTTGAACCAACTTATAGTAAACCTAAGTATGGTGAACCTAACTAGATAATCTAGATAGTAGATTAAGTCATAGATATAGCTTTTAGCATCTTATAGCTACAGTTATAACTGGTTATTAACCTATGGGATGATACATGAACCATTTCTATGGTATAACTTGGGCCATCGACTCAACGCGATGCTCTACGCTCAAAACGCGACCGAGGACATGTACCGCTTGGGGCAGGGAACCAAGAAGGACTACTCCGAGGCCATCCGTTGGTATCAGACACTTGGTATCCGTCGCGTAGAGGCGTTGCTGGCGATGTCGTTTTGACCCCGGAAATCTGGGTGAATTGCATTCATAACTGTCATTCGTGTTCGTAGAGGTAAAAATATATATATATGTGAATCTATGATGTGTTTATATGTGTTTCAAATGTGAATCTATCATTTAAGTGTTTATAAGTGTTTATATGATGTGATTCCATCATTCTCACTTTCTGCTGGCGATGTCAAACCCGTTGTCTGTGTTGTTTGTGCTGTCAATGGGAAATCCCCGAGGAGGCTAACTCCATCAACAAATCGCAGTATTATCCCATTATTCTCCCCATTAAACCATATAACACCGTATAAAAAACCTCAGTTTCACAAGATATAGAACCATATAAATAACTTGGAATAAAACCTCAACTTCGCATGAAACCAGCGAACAACAAACTGGGAGTCAACCATATAAAACCATTCAACCATATAAAACCATTCAACCATATAAAACCATACTGTCATAAACCATATGAAATAGAAACGCATATGTCATCCTCCCTATCAAACCTCCTTTCGACAGTTGCAATAATACTTCAACTACCATATTACCACCGAACACCTACATCATCATTGACATAATCCCATTAAACTACCATTAAACCACCATATTACCACCATTAAACCACCATTAAACCACCATATTACCACCATTAAACCACCATATTACCACCATTAAACCACCATTAAACCACCATTAAACCACCATATTATCCCATTAAACCACCATTAAACCACCATTAAACCACCATATTATCCCATTAAAGCACCATTAAACCATCATTAAACCACCATTAAACCACCCATATTATCCCATTAAACCACCATTAAACCACCATTAAACCACCATATTATCCCATTAAACCACCATTAAACCACCATTAAACCATCATTAAACCACCATTAAACCACCATATTACCACCATATTACCACCATTAAACCACCATATTACCACCATTAAACCACCATGTTATCCCATTAAACCACCATTAAACCACCATTAAACCACCATATTATCCCATTAAACCACCATTAAACCACCATTAAACCATCATTAAACCACCATTAAACCACCATATTACCACCATTAAACCACCATATTACCACCATATTACCACCATATTACCACCATATTATCCCATTAAACCACCATTAAACCACCATATTACCACCATTAAACCACCATTAAACCACCATATTACCACCATTAAACCACCATTAAACCACCATATTATCCCATTAAACCACCATTAAACCACCATATTACCACCATTAAACCACCATATTATCCCATTAAAGCACCATTAAACCACCATATTACCACCATTAAACCACCATATTATCCCATTAAACCACCATTAAACCATCATTAAACCACCATATTATCCCATTAAACTACCATTAAACCACCATTAAACCACCATATTACCACCATTAAACCACCATATTACCACCATTAAACCACCATATTATCCCATTAAACCACCATTAAACCACCATTAAACCACCATTAAACCACCATTAAACCACCATATTATCCCATTAAACCACCATTAAACCACCATTAAACCACCATATTATCCCATTAAAGCACCATTAAACCATCATTAAACCGCCATTAAACCATCATTAAACCACCATATTATCCCCATATTATCCCCTTCTTATCCCTATAAAAAAAACCTGCCATGACTGGCGGCCACGTAACGGCGGCGATGATCAGGAAAGTGGTTGCCGACATGTCCCATGTCCTCGCGGCGGATCCCACTTTACCTTCGGCCGGCTGGAACCGTACGGCGGAGCCTTGGCGCCATAGAAATGGAGGGAAAATTCATCTATAGACTGGGTAAATTCTATGTGAAAAACCATGGTGAATTTGGTTTGTGGAAAATTCGATGGGTCAATTCTGATCTATCTGAAAACATGGTTAACTCTATGTTTTTTTCACATAGAGTGGGTAAATTCTATGGTTAATTCTATATGAAAGATTTCGATTGGGTTAATTGAAGATAGATGATTCTATTCTGTAACGACTTCACTGCGATCTAACTGGAATCATGGTTATAAGGGAAATCCTCCCAAAATGGCCTTATTATTTCAGGTTAGTGAAATATTATAATTTACCCAGATCTATAGATTGGGTTAATTGTAGATGGATTACTATGGGTGAATAAAAAAGATGGGGTTATATTGAATTCTATCAATTATTGATCGGGCTATTGAATATCTAGAAGATGGATTAATATGGGTGCAGAAAGAAGATTGGATATGAATCATGATGATTCACTTATCTATTCTAGAATATGAATTAGTTGACATATTATTCAGAAAGAATATCCACAGAATAGAATAGATTGGTTAATTGTTCACATCCATCTACATCATAGCCAGCTAATGAAGCCAGAAATAATGGATATAAAATGGATTCACAAGCAAAGATGGTATTTCATAGGTTTTGTTTAGTTTTGAATCATCCGCTTCAATGGCTTGCTTTTTGTTTTTTTGACTGCTTTAGTGTAAGCAAACACACATGGAGAAAAGTTGTGAGTTTCAGCAGATTTTGCCACAAACTGTGGAGGTGATACAGCAAGGCAAAGAAGCTTCAGGTCTAAGACATGTCTAGATCTAAATTGACTGCGGAAACGGATCAGATTTGGACAGGTGTGTTCCTTGAAACATTGGGACAAAACACATTTCACTTTGACCACACAAACCGACTTTGGATGGTTTTACCATAAAGATATATTCAGGACCTGTGTCTTAGCGCAAATCTGATGCATGTTCACGAGCTTCTTATGGTACAGAAATCCGCTGAATCTTTTGTGGCTCCCTTTCATATTCCCTCCTGGTTTCCCGGTGAACGGTCGCAATTTGCCAGGGGTATCTGGCCCCGAAATGACCATATTTTTAGAGGTGGGAGTCTGGGACATCCTCCCAAAGCCATATTCTTTGGGGAGGTATAGCGTAGCCAGCGTAGCCACTTGTCAGACACCCAAATATCAAGTTGATTAATCACTATAAATCGCCATAAATCACTATGAATATCTATGAATCTCATGGTAATCGCTTTTTGAATCACCAAACATCACTATAAATCCCATGGCCCATGCTAGTCACTGTTAAAAACTCAAAAACACTATACTATAAATCATCACACAAAATCATCATAATTCCCGAGAAAAAAAACACCACAAATCACCATAGATCACTATTATATAAGTCCCACACTGTAAAACCACTATATATAATAAAATCACTACAACATCACTATAACATCACCATAAATATCTATAAACCACTACAAAATCACTATATTCATTCAGCCCTTACGCTATCCCCAGAGGGGGTTTCTACGTCAGCTTTCAAGGTGGCTCGAGCCTTCAACAGCCTGGGTGCCATGTACGCCTCGGGTTGGGGCACCGAAAAAAGCAAGTGCCTTGGCTTCGGAACTTCGGAACGACTCGATGATGGAAAGTACGGATGGAAATTGGATGGAAAATGGATGGAAATTGGTTGAAGACTATTTACATTTCTAATGATAAATGATGGATAATGATGGTAAATCTGGGAAACTGGTAAAAAATATATGGAGATGATACATGACTTTTTATCTGATTATTCTTATGTTCGTTTAACATCTTTCTTTAGTCATGGATGGGTTTGTCTCATTGAGGGTAAAATCTGGGTAAATTTCATCACGACCGAACCCTGTTCTCCCGAACCCTGGAATCATGGTTTAGTTCATGGGAAATCATCCCCATTCATGGCCGAACTATTCAGGTTAGTGAAATATTATAATTTACACAGATTAAATGGACATGGGCAGCCAGTTGGAGCTATTTGGAGTTTCGCAACCATATGATAGACCACATCTTCAGTCAAAGCCATATTGTTCGTGTAATTCCAGGAGGATTAGGATTAGGTGTTGCGAAGCCAAGCCAGGTTGCAACATAAAATCACAGTCACAATAGGTCACAATCTTCGTTTGTCATTGAGATGGCAATGGCAACAACAAAAGTACCCGCTACTGTACCCCCACCAAAAAGGATGGAACAGTATTTTGATATACCATTACTGCTTGGTGGTGACTGGAACCATGGAATTTTATGACTTTCCATTCAGTTGGGAAGAATACATAATCCCAATTGACGTTCACTCCATGATTCTTCAGAGGGGTAGGGTGAAAAACCACCAACCAGATTATTATTAACCATCATTAACCATATATATAATAACCATATAGTAACCATTGTTAAACTGTTAGTTGGATTTTAGATTTTTATTTCTTTGGCGGTTGCTATAGCTGTATAATGGGGATTTTCCATTATAAACCAACCAGTTTGGGGTAATTACCCGAATTTATGGAAACCCCCAACTAGCCTTCAAGGTTCTTAAGACCTCTTCTTGGTGTACATGAACAGCTCCTGGCTCAAAACCTGCACTGCTGTTTCGTTGGGAGAGTAACAGCGGCAGAACCACATCGACCATGGCTTGGTTTGGATGGTTACTTCGATACTTTAATCTTTTGCTGTAAATGGATGTAAATGGGGTTACTGTATATATGACTTTTCACTGGTGATTCACATACTATGTGCTATTATACACTGTATATATATATATACACACACCTATAAAACCAGTTGAGATGGAAAAAAACAGGATTGCCAAGATTCGCCATGACTTTGGATAAATCATGGCTAATCAGACCGAAGGATCTCCGCCTGTGATCTGCTGCTTCGCCGCGCCATGGTGGTCCAACGAAAAAAGAAGCGCCTGCCCAGCGTGGGAAGGACGCAGGGTAGGGAGTAGGATCAGCTGTGGAGCTAAACATAACATTGCATACATTAACATTTATGATATACATATATATATATACATAATATATAACATAGACAATATATAATATCAAAATTTACAATCTATTTGTGTATATATACATTCACACATATAACATCATATAACAAAGCAACATTAAATGAACTTCAATCATAAAACCACGGTTTTTGTCCGGAAACTGCGTCCTCTGCAACGGATGACGCCGGAACAGGATGAGTCGTGTGTTGACCTTCGGACAGCGTCGGCGTCCCAGGAGACGTCGGTGGTGGATCTGGAGATACCTTCAAATGGTGGGATGATGGGATATAATATATCTTCAATATTCTTCAATTATATGGTTACTGGTTGATAGTTTGGAACATTAATTTTATTTTTCTATATATTGGGAATAACCATCCCAACTGACGAGCATATTTTTCAGAGGGGTTGAAACCAGCAACCAGGTTAGATATGTCTTCAATTTATATATATATATACATATATTATCCCACCATGGCATATATGGTTAGATATCTTTCAATCGGGATATATATCTAAATGGTCGATCTTCAATGGGATACTATGGGGATGTGATACATGGGGGGTTCCTGAAATTGGAGTACCCCCAGTCATCATCCATTTGAGATTGGGATTTTCCCATGGAAATAAACCATCCAGCGATAAAGGGAAAGCCCCATTTCAGGAAAGCCCCAGTCATCTTCAATATTCTTCAATTATATGCTTAGATATATCTTCAATTTATATATATATATATTATCCCATCATGGAATATATGTTTAGATATCTTTCAACCGGGATATATATCTAAATGATCGATCTTCAATGGGATACTATGGGGATGTGATATGGGGAGATATTCGGCATATGATGGGATTTTTTGTTTAAGGGACGGTCCAAAGTGCATGACATTGGACGGACTGCATCGTTGGCATAGATAACTAATACCCTAAACATCCCTTAACCAAGCACCAAAAGCAAAGTTCACAATTTTGAGGCTGTTCTGCACCATACCCAATTGGGCTTGATTAGGCATCCACATCGATCTCACTTGAAATCATATAGCGGGGTGCAATTCCAACAAGTGGGTGAGATTTCATTCTAGTTATAGGGGTCAACAAGAAAGGTCAAAATCCCATAGTTATACATACCCATTTGTGTACTGTGGCCTGCACCCCCAGGTATATAGCATGTCCAAAAAAAAATCATCCACTAACCACTAAGAACTTTCGGGGATCACATTCAGCAAGTCTCCAGCACCCTCATCCACCAAGCTAGTCATGCCGTAGATCTTCGGGTCAACCCACCAACGGTACCCATATTTATAGATTGGCCTCAAAAAGTCATATATTGATTGGCACAACAGTTTTATCAAGTGATTTTGACTGGTGGAAATGTGTAAGAAAACATCTGTAGATCCATCTGATCCATCATGTTTTTTCAGCCAAACCTCCAGTCTTCAGAGAAAGCCCATTGAAATCCCATGAAATCTCATGAAATCCCATGAAATCCCATGAAATGCGATTGAAGTCCCATTGAAATCCCATAAAATCCCATTGAAATCCCATGAAATCCCATTGAAATCCCATTGAAATCCCATTGAAATCCCATGAAGTCCCATTGAAATCCCATTGAAATCCCATGAAGTCCCATTGAAATCCCATTGAAACCCCATGAAATCCCATGAAATCCCATTGAAATCCCATTGAAATCCCATTGAAATCCCATTGAAATCCCATTGAAATCCCATTGAAATCCCATTGAAATCCCATTGAAATCCCATTGAAATCCCATTGAAATCCCATTGAAATCCCATGAAATCTCATGAAATCCCATGAAATCCCATGAAATCCCATTGAAATCCCATTGAAATCCCATTGAAATCCCATGAAATCCCAGGAAATCTCATTGAAATCCCATGAAATCCCATTGAAATCCCATGAAATCGCATTGAAATCCCATTGAAATCGCATGAAATCACATGAAATCCCATTGAAATCCCATGAAATGCGATTGAAATGCGATTGAAATCCCATTGAAATCCCATTGAAATCCCATTGAAATCCCATTGAAATCCCATGAAATCCCAGGAAATCTCATTGAAATCCCATGAAATCCCATTGAAATCCCATGAAATCGCATTGAAATCCCATTGAAATCGCATGAAATAACATGAAATCCCATTGAAATCCCATGAAATGCGATTGAAATCCCATGAAATCCCATGAAATCCCATGAAACCCCATGAAATCCCATTGAAATCCCATTGAAATCCCATTGAAGTCCCATTGAAATCCATTGAAATCCCATTGAAATCCCATTGAAATCCCATGAAATCTCATTGAAATCCTATGAAATCCCATTAACATTCCACTAACATTCCATTCACATTCCGTTAAATACCATTCACATTCCATTACCCTCTGGTTATTGAACATAGCTGAGGTTGGCGTGAACGCCGTTGAGAGTGGCCATCCCAACGGGCATTGTTGCTCAAGTTCCCCCCCGATCGCTGCCCATCCCATTTTTTCCTTTCAACGGCTGAGTTGGGATCCGCATCAACTGACACAGAAAGTGTGCCTGGCCGCTGAAAAAGATGCAGTGGAGCCCGGCCGCTATGGCGATTCCCCGGCCACGGCTCCAGGAGCATCGTGGTGATGTTCCACGGGCTGAATGACAGCGCTGCCTGCTGTGCGGAGGGGGTTGCTAAGTCCTGGGCGCTGCCGGGGGTCTTGGTGGTGCCATGGAGGGGAAAAGTCGGGGAATGTTGTGGTTAAGAGTGGGTTAATGGTGGTTTAATGGTGGGTTAATGGATGTTAATGGTGGTTCAATAGTGATCAATGATGATTGATGGTGGTTTAATAGTGATCAATGATGATTGATGGTGATTAATAGTGATTAATACTTGTTTAGTAGTGGTTTAGTAGTGGTTTAATAGTGATTAAGAGTGATTGATAGGGTTTAACACTGGTTTAAAGTGGTTGAATAGTGATTCACAGTGATTAACAGATGATTTGGGGATGGATCAACAAGTGGAATGATAGGTAGGAGGGGATTTTGGACTTTTTCTGCCGAAATCCACTAGAACTGGGTACCAACATAGCCATTCATTCCACAAATAGTGGCCGTGCCGGGGCGGGGCGGAAGCTTGGAAAAAGAGCACTAATTTTCTGGGAAATCAATGGCCCAAATAGGCGAAAAAATGCATTGCCAGTGCAATGCAGAATGAAAGATTGAGGTTGCGAGGTGCATCAATAAATGAGCAAATGGTTCTTGAAACGCCAATGAAGCGACATGAAACCAGTGACATGAAAGAACCAATGTATTAATGCATGAATGAATCGGTGAATGAGTGAGTGAGAGAATGAATGACTATATCAATGAACCCATGATGCGTGCATGAATGGATGAATCAATAACTTAATCAATGAATTAAGAAATCAATGGTTGAATCAGTGAATGAATCATGAGTCATTGTGCCATGAAGGAAGAAATCGAGGAATTATTGAATCAAGGATTTAATGAATCAATGAATGAGTATATGAGCGTGTCTGAAAATGGATGGATTAAAATTAAAATACATTAAAATGCTGTATACCACCGGTCAGGGCATTTTTTAACTGGAACAATAGTGATGAACCAGTGGATCTAGGGCGTACCCATTTTCAGACAAACCCATATCAGTGGGATAATGGGGGACTGACTGAATGGATGAAATGAATGAAATAATTGTTTTTTTTTATTAGTTTACTTCGTATGATCTCGACTAGGGCGTGTATCCCAACATGTATTCTGGCATTCTATCATACATTTTATCTGATAGACTATCTGACCATTTTTACGATTTTTCTCTGTTTTTCAAGGGAGATAACAATTTGGGTAATTTTTAATGAGTTAATTCAAGTTAATTCCGATATTTCATTAACCTGAAATGTTGGTCCATCTAGAGTCATATAACAATGATTCCCCCAAAACTAACCATGATTCCAGTGAGGTCACAGTGAGGTCACTATGTAATTGTCATATCCCCCATAAACATCCATGAACAACATGACATAACCCCAAACGTACCCGAGGTGGTTCCCCAGTCGCCGGACCGCAGCTTGTGGAGCGAGCGCTGCGATCCGGGCTACGACTGGTTGCGCCAGGAGGGGCGGCAGAACGTGAACGATGCGGCGGCCAACGTGAGGACGAGTGGGTTCCGGGGGGGATTTTGATCCCATTTTTTTGGGGCGATGGATGAAGAACAAATGGATGAACATGAAGAACAAGGTTATGCAAAGTGGTGCCCCCGAACGATAGTTAAGTTGGTGCACATAACTCCAATACTTATGGTTTATGGTACTTATAACTATAGTTAATGGGGCTTATAAACCAATTTATAACTAGGGGGCACCACAGTGTGGATATGGGGATTCAACCATCGTGAGTCAGGATGGGTTTTTCCGGATGTTATAGGTTCATTTTTTAATGGATCATTTGGGTCTCATAATGGGGTTCCAGTCACACCAACATGGACAAGAAATGATAAAGATATGACATATTCAATTCTCATGGTCGATCATATGGATTTGACTGATCGAAAAAATGAGAGAACATGGTTTTGGATAATGATCAATATGTGAAATCACCAAATAAATGATATTTCCATGCATTTCCACCGTACACATTCAGTGAGGTTTGGCTGTATATCCCATTAAATCCACTTTACATATCTGGTTGGTGGTTTGGAACATGAATTTTATTTTCCATTCAGTTGGGAAGTTCAGAATCCCAACTGACTTTGGCATATTTTTCAGAGGGGTAGGTCAACCACCAACCAGATATGTCATCGTGTCCTCCACTATATCTCTCCAACAGTTAGGCTTGGGAACATGATGGCCAACTCCCAGGGAACTTCAGCGTGTGGCCATGGCGCGCGTACGCCACGTCGAGAAATGGCTGCGAGCCTTGCTGAAGAAGCACAGCTTGAAGCCGAGGCGGTTCATGGGAAAGGTCGGTAATGTCAAGCGCCTGGATTAATAACCCCCTACTGTAGGCCGGCTGTTTGATTGGAAGGCTAGCATTTAAAGTATTTGATTATCACTATTTGGGGAGTACCCCCCTAGTTATCCTACTTAATAAGCAAATGGTGTATATGATGCTCCATGGTGCTGGAACAGTTTACGAAAACGGCCAAATGTCACGACTTGACTGGTGGGATATATTATCAAGCTTTGCTATGTCATAGCGTATAGCCTTCTTAGATGGTTGGAAGGATAGATGTGAGGATATGTCATGAAATGATTTGTTCGTGATTTTTTCCGTGAAATCAGCGTTGCTGTTGCGGGAACCAACTTTCAACCAGTAGATTGGATAATTAGACCTTGGTGAAATGCCAATTCTAAGTGGGACTTCTTCCGCTTAGATAGCGGTCTGATGAAAACCAACTACCCTCTGGTTATGTCAAAATAGCGAAAATGACCATAGAAACAGTTGCTTTACCCATTAAAATAATGGTGATTTTCCATGGTTATGTTAGTTTACCAGAGGGTATATCCCATTACATCCACATGTAAAAACATGTTAACGTATTATAGCCCCTTTGTTTCGCCGTAGAATCAGTAGGATTATCTACCGCTACCTTCCAACCATGATTATTGACTTATCCCCTTCATTGGCAGGTGAAAACTACATGTTTTCAGTTTAACTACCCAAATCCCCATTTGCAGGAATTTACCATTTTTTCCCATGAAGCAGTGAATTGTTTCTGTTGGTAATTGCTGCCAACTGGATGAAATATCTCCGTGTGGATAATATCTCTGAGACTGAATTATGTATTGTATTATATGAATAAAGATACATTTTATAAACTGTGCTGATTAATATAGATCAACTAACCCAGCGCTCATTGAAAATCATTTTTATTGGTATTGGTCCTGAAAATGATCTTCGAATCTTCGCTCTTCCAGGGCATAGAGGTAATTAGCAAAAATGTCAAACAACGTCCCAGCTGAAAAAGAACAACACCCCAGTTCTTGTGGTTTTTGCTTATCAGAAAAAAACTGTGTACAGTTTTGTTCACCCTTTAATGATCTTCAATGTTTGATCAGGCTTCATATTGTTTTATGATTTCCCCCAGTCCATCAATAATCAATATCTTCATCAGGATTCATCACTTCCCCCCAACAAAAAGACACATGCTTCCACGGACAAAAAAATGATCAGGGTTGACTTTTCCCCGGGATAATGTTGGGATAAGTATACCACATTGTCAACCATTTTCACAAAAATGTTGACAATATGGATGTAATCTCATGTAAACTCTGGGTAAATTATAACGACCTCACTGTTCTCCCTCACTGGAATCATGGTTAGTAAGGGAAATCATCCCCATTCATGGCCGAACTATTCAGGTTAGTGAAATTTTTTACCCAGATAAACTCATTTAAATAGATCCCAGTGATGAACTCTCATTTTTCCCAGTGATTTCATCCCTCGACATCCGAACAACGGCCAGGCATTTGATCCTCAGTGGCTTCTCCCAGGGCTCAATCCTCTGCGCCCTCTGCGCCTGTCGTTTGAACGCCAAAGGCGCGGTGATCTGCGGTGGTGTGACGGGGCAGCCCATCTATTCGGCCAAGGAGAAGGACGTGGACGTCATGGGATTGGGATGATGGGTGGGATTGGGGTAGGTGATGTACATGAAACGAAAAGACTGTTTTTTAATGGAGTTTTATGTGTTATATATTGTAATTATAAATATATACATACATATATATATATATACTGAATTGATAATGAATCATGAGGATATAGTGGGATGTAGAACCTACTTATGGTGCACGTATTGACTGGGTCGCGGCCCAAATGCTACGGGACTCCAAGAAACTGTTGTGACCAAAGTTCCCGACTCTGGGGGAAGGAGTTTTTGTTATTTTAAACATTTTCTATTGTTGGGATGTTGGATAAATATGGATAGATATGAACATCATTTATTGGGGGATTTATGTGATTTACTGGTTGGTGGCTTCAAACATCAATTTTATTTTTCATAATATATTGGTCACAATACTCCCAACTGACTATTTTTCAGAGGGGTAGGTCAACCACCAACCAGATATTGTTGGGATTTTGCGTTTGTTTTGAGCAATTGTTGGGGTTTGAAACAAGAGCACTGCTGGATCGTTTTAAGATTTAAAGTAACACTGGGTCTTATGTTTCTAATGAATGCCATCAAAGAGAATTGGAATTAACCACTCAAACTGGCTGAACCGTTTTTTGAATTCTTTGTGTATGTTGGTATTTTTTGTATCATGATAGAAGTATCCCAATACAAACCCAAGGGTCCTGCACATTTAGGTACCCAATGGGACCCAAAATCGGGCGTGTCCCCATTTTTGGAATCCTGTTTTGATGGAGGATCAACCTCACCAGACGCTTCCCATCAGGCCCTCTTTAGATGGGAACTTTCGGGAAGTACTGGGGGCATGAACGCTAATTATGATAACAAGTTGATTGTCATCCAATCACATTCATATCTGATTGGTGGTTTGGAACATGAATTTTATTTTTCCCATCATATTGGGAATAATCATCCCAACTGACGAGCATATTTTTCAGAGGCCAACAACAATAACTATGAAATACTATGACACTATGATTGGACAAGCCTTAAGAGTTTTGCAACTGGACATCCGACAAGTTTTTTTTTTATCCAGAGCGCTTTTCATGTATTTTTTCACATTTAGGACATCGCCCAACACTTCGAAAATTCTTGATCCGCAAATCAGGACTATGTGGGTGGAGGTTGGATGAAGTGGGAGCAGTTGCTGCCAAGGACGGAGTAAGATCACAGCAGAGCCTAAATTGTTTGCGAACATTTCAAGTACGTTTGATGTTGCCCCAGTTCGTTTGCCAAGTTGGTTTATGAGAGGGTTATACAAGTCGGGGTTGTGGTTTAACAAAAATGAGATAGTTAAGCTTATAATCCAACTTATAGCAGGGTGGCATATTCTATGGTTGATTAGTATGTTGAAACTTCACATTTCGAAAAATCTTCCAAGTGCACTATGACCGGACCGCGGACCGCGGACCAGAAATGATGCAATGATGGAGGAAATACTCCGAAGTAGAAAGGGCAGCCTTTCTGACCTGGAAATTATATATATATATGATATAATCATTTTGCCTATAATATAATCATTTTTGCTTGTATAATATAGCAATCATAGATAATCATGTATATAATATAATTAATCATTTTATAATATAATCATATCTATAATGTAAATCAGTGCTTTTTATATCCCGATTTTGGTTGATGTGTCGTGGCAGGAAGGTCGCCTCGACTCGTTTCTGCGCGGTGAATGGCACCTTAGATCCCTTCGTGCCGCGGCGAGCGGTCGAGAAGATGTTCCGTGGCATCGTTCAGTGGTCGAATGTGGTCGGTGTACAATGTGGTGTACCCTCTGGGCCAAGAAAAATGGTGGTGACATGGTGGTTAAATGGGTTTCTGTTTCGAAAAATGATGCTGACATACGGTTAAATGATTGATTGGAATTAACACTAAGGTTAGACAGTAGGATTCCCATGATGGTTACCCTCTGGTAAGCATACAAAAAACAATGGAAAATCAAAATCATTATGCTATTAATGGGTGAATCAACTATTTCTATGGCCATGGCTTCAATAGCAAACTGTTAGTTTACCAAAGGGTACCCTAGAACTACCTTTTTCGGGCCTAGGGTACACCTATGTATATGGATGACAATTCTGAAAATACATGGAACGGTATCCTAGAATTGGTCTGTCTCCAGAATGGTCAGAAAATAGTTGATAATTAGAGCATTTGGATCTTGGGGTAGGCTGTTTTCAGACAAACCCATCTATACCTATCTTGGAGTAGATAGAATATTAGGACATGTCGAAGAATGTTCACTAAACACGGGAATAGCTTTCAATTCTTCATATTCTATCCAGGATGACGAAATACTTGATGGTCTAACATATTGTTGATGTTCAACCATCTCTAGCATGATCCCCCCACGGCTGGGGATAAAAAACAAACTGAATCCCGAAGTGGCCTTAAAATCTGCTGATTTGCCGCTGAGCAACAAGATTTAGGCAACCAAGGCTAATATGGACCATTTTCGTGCAACCGGAAGAACCATTTCCACATGAAAAAACCACCAACTTGTCATGGGTGAAGACTGTTTACATCTTCCAAACAGCCGTTGTTCTTCACACTCCCCACATGCTGTGTGGAAAACTCCAAAGTCCAATGGATAATCACAATTTTCTTCACGTAAAAACATCTTGGGGTATACATTAGCCATCCATAGGATCCATGGTGCTGGTATATATATGCTACCCTCTGGTAAATTAACATAGACCCTGAAAATAGCCTAGTTTTAATGGAAACTAATCTTCCAACCCCGATGAATGCCAGGGTCTATGTTAATTTACCAGAGGGTAACATTGGGGGTATATTGATGGTAAATGTTATCATATATAGCAGCACCGTTAGGATCCGACATACCAGGGTTAGTCACCCCAGTTTCAGACACCGAAATGTTGATCAGTCCATTCTGCTACGATGATCAGTTGGATGTACTGTACTTAAGGTGGTGTCCCATTGTTTTTAGTTGGTGAACACAATAATAACTGGTTGGTGGTGCTTTGGAACCATGGAATTTTATATAATTTTATGACTTTCCATTCAGTTGGGATCTTTGTCATCATCCCAACTGACGAACTCATATTTTTCAGAGGGGTAGGTCAACCACCAACCAGATTTAACTGTTGGGGTTATGCTAACAACCGTCATTTCGGGGTAACATCTTGAAATCATCAACCGACCATCATCGCCTCTGTTAGAAATTTGCATTTTCGTTGGTGAAAATGCCAAACGTTGGACCGTACTAATATCCGTACTATGCAGTTATGGCATGTTATGGCCATTTATTAGTTATAACTGGTTATTTCAGTGGGATAAAACACATGTTATTTCATGTTATTTCTATGGGGTGACATATCTAAGTACTTATAACTGGTATAACTCGGGCCATAACTATGGAGAGTTGAATCCTTCATTTTAGCAAACAAAAACCTCCATAGACCCGTGTTAGTTTCATGCTTCGTTTCCATTATCCCATCCCATCATGCTGATTGGTCAATGGCTATCATACTGTATGTTTTTTTTTTTAGGACATCCCGAAATCATCCGACATCCCCAATCAACCAGTTGGTAAAACCACCCATTAGCATCATTTTCGCATAATCTCCAATAAGAATCAAGAACCCAGGTACTATGTGGTAAACCCAATAATATCTGGTTAGTGGTTTGGAACATGAATTTTATTTTTCCATTCAGTTGGGTTTTTTTTCATCATCCCAACTGACGAACTCAAATTTTTCAGAGGGGTTGGTATACCACCAACCAGATGTGGTAGACCCAATAATCAATGGGAATTTCAGGATCCTAAAATGGAGGTACTGTACCATATAAAGCCATATTTTGTGGGTATATTCCCATTGAAATAATAAATTCTATTGCTGCCCCAGCGACCTCAGAGGTTGAAGGACTACGACACGCAGTGGCATTGGGACACTGGCGTGGGACATGACTTTCCATCCAGATGGTGCGGAATTTTGGGCCATGCAGCCATGGTTGGTGAGTGAAGCGGTTAGTGTAGAAAACAAAAAACGGAGTTCACTAGCAAAAATACTCCAAAATCAGGTTTTATATGGTTTTTGACTGAGTTTAGTTAACTAGCAACTAAATCAGTTTTCTAATGGGTTTTCATCAACAACCATAAGTGGATGGAGTTAGTTAAGTGATTGGAAGAACGGAGCGATAAGCCATGAAATATACAAAAAATGTGTGGGGAGTTACCAATTGTCAGTCTAACTCCATGCCCATAAGACTGGATATCTTTGCAGGTTTGAAAGATCTGAAAAAAACAGCTTGGGTTTGCTTATGATGGGAATGTTGAAACGTGCGAAATTCGATGCTTCAGCGCTTCCCCCTTCCTTTTGATGCTAGAGACCATTCTACTACCGTCCCCGTGAGGTACAAAATCGCTGCCAACTGGATGAAGACCGTGTTACCCGCATAAGGCTGTGATCACAACACGTGATCACCGACATGCGCAGTCCATTCAAAGGTTCAAAAAAAACTCCGGCAGCTCCATGGGGCGGAAGTTGCCAGACAGGAAAGGTTCAGAATAGGGGAAATCATAGGTCTTTCATCTCAAAATCTTTGTTGGGAAGATAGTTCAGTTCCAGGTGAAACTGACAATTCATGGAGGATTGGAGTGACTTTGATGAATCCCCTGACCTGAGAGTCACCCAAGAAGCACAAGATGCCTGCATATTATCCTTGGCAGGCCTGTTTTATCATCCCATGAATTATCAAATAAGCAATTAATCAAATAATATGAACATGTTAATCCTTTGATTTTCTGATGATATCATGGTTGGTTGTTAAATCCCAAAAACTGGTGCAGCATCTTTGTTTTTGCTGGTTCAATCCTCATCCTTTGGTGGTGTTTCTTCAATCAACTCAGCCTTTGGTTATTTAACCTAGCGATGGAAGCGATGGCCAATGAAAGTACATGATTTACGATGATTATATAAACATATATAAACTTAAACTTGTTGAACAATGTGATTTTCCATGGCAAACCGTTAAATAACCAGAGGGTAAGTTGATGTAAACAAGAAATTGACAATCACCAGTTTTAATAGGTAAATCATCATAAAAAAATGAACTAAATTGGCAAGTTTCCCATTCGCAAACTGCCAAACAACCAGAGGGTACACTCCAATTATGCATAATTCGTCCATTATTGTTGGTTATTTGTTGCTATGTTCCATTAACCATTGATTAATAACAATAATAATGACAATAATAATAATAATAGTAAATACATGTCATGATTATTCATGATTATTCTATGTTCCCAACCAAATCTTAACTGTTAGATAGCCAGAGGATATAGCCATATTTTTTTCCTGCATAAATCCCCAACCATTTTTTGGCTCAACCGAGGCATAGGGCAGTGGAGTATTTGGAGCAGGTGGGGCCTGAGTTTTTCGATATTTCCACCAAACTCCGGGTTATAGTTATAAAGTGGGGCCCCCAAAAGATAGCGTTCAGTTGGTGTATAACTCCAACAAACCATGGTTTATGGTACGCAAATAACTATAGTATTCATGGGGTTTATAAAGCAATTTATAACTAGGGGGCACCACACTGTATAAATCAATAAATCAACTTAGCTAAGGTGAACGCACATAGATATGAACATCTATGGTGAAACCCATGGAAAATGATCTACAATTGGTGGCTTTCAATATCTGTGTTGGTTTTCGGGAGAGCCATCAAGACTGGTTGGAGGGAACATAGATCTTTCACACTGGTTGATTGTGTCGGTCACATTGCCTCTGTTTTGAGCACTGTAGTGTTTGGACTTATCTCCCCATGCTGTTCATCCCCATTCATATATATATCAGGGGCATGGTCCTAGGCTGTCCTAGGCTGTCCTAGGCTGTTATCTTTCCGATGTCTATCATCCCATCCCCCTAATATTAAACATCACCTAAATGGTCGCAGAGATGTGTAAATCTCCTATTGTTTTTGGGGGATGGGATGATTGTGGCTGTTTTTTCAGCAGTATTTGTATTGCAGTGCTGGCGCTGATGGGATATCCACTGGAATTTGGGACCAACCCAGTGGTACTTCCCAACAAAATTCAAGAGTCGGGCTAAAATCTGGTGATTCGATCAATACCCAACCATTTTTTTGGGGGGCTGGATAGCTAGTTCTCCTATGTTTCCCCATTTCTTTTTGGGGGACGAGACGATCCAAAAAATGGAACATCGAACTGCAGCCACGGTACCCAGGCGGCAGCCCTGGGTCATCCCCATGCGGCCCGGAATTTGAAGAGTTTGGGGGCTGCTAAGGAAGAGGAGCCGGGCATAGAATCATGGTCCACGGGTCATGATTTACCATGGAGAATGGAGACTTACCATTGGAAAAATGGTGGATTAATATGGATTAATGGGATATGATGATGATTTATAGATATTTATGACTAAGCCCGATAATAAACCCAAAACATGTTTGATTTCTTGATTCCTGGGTTCTCAAAGGTGTGAACGCAATGATTTTGCCAGAAATGGTATGAAAAAGAGGATCAGTGAGGATCACGACTGATATATTAGACTCACCTCAGTCAAGCCCCAAACTATGCTGCGCATCGCTGCGCGCAGATCCCAGTGATACAAGATCTCAAAAATTGGCTATGGATCAATACCTATTAATACCATTTTTAGTGGGTTATTCACATCCATTTTATCCCAGCTATTTTGATGTGAACAGAAGGGGTACTATTGGTTTTGACACACTGCCAATTCAAAACAACCCTTTATTGCCAATCATTCGGGGGTTTTCGGATCTCATGATTATCATGATTCTTCCAGACCCATGGCAACCCCATCAGATCATCGTGATTCAGCCTGCCTGTGGAGAAACTACTTCCGGATTTGACTTGAGAACTGGACACTCCTGTTTGGCTGCTTAAAATATGTAAAAATCATGGATTCCTACAGTCGCTGTATGGGTTCCTGTAGATGTTAAGACTTAGCTGACGACCGCAGGAGCTTTAGCAGCCGTCGACGCGCGGCGTCAAGCCGCGGAATGCGGGCGGAAAAGGAATGTTCGCATGGGCGAATTTGATAGCGACTGCACTGCCCAAGTCACAGAACATTCGAAATGATGGTTGGGATTTACCAATCTCCCAGAAATTGTTGGGATTTACCAATCTCCCAGAAATTTGACATCATTTGACCCTGAAAATTCGCCATAGAAATTTCGAGCTTTGTTTCAGCAACTTGACCCAGCCACCAGCGACTGGAACTGCCCATCCTTCTGGATGATCCTGTAGGATCCTGGGAGGTCGGTCAAGACCTTTAATGTGGGTAAAAAACAATGTCATAAGTAAACCATTGCCAGGAAGTCATGGGTGGTAAAAATGGCATTGTTTTACCCACATCATTATCATATTTGTATATATATATATATGTATAATATAATATTAATATATATCAAGTTTATTATCACTAAAATTCACTATAAATCTCTATAGATTTACATGTTTCGGTAACTCCATGGCCTGATGATGGATTGTGTTGCATCGTCAGGCCCCAAAGTTCTCTGCGAAGAGAGCTTTTTTGCGGGAAGAGTTGATGCAAGCTGCCTTGAGTGATGAAGAGGTCGGGGACATTCCTGGTTTCACACAGCTAGCTGTATGGAATTTTCATGAAATGTCTCAAGTTTACCCACGTTTCACCATGGAAATTAATGCCCGGACATTATTGGGTAAACTTGTTCCCATCCATGGTTTACCTATTTTTTTTTGATATTTATCATATTTTTCTTGGAAATGATTGGGTAAATTCACACTTGGAAATTACAGTTATGGCTCGAAATACCAGTTATAAGTACTAACAAGTCATTCCATTTATAAAATGTATAATCCCATTGAAATAACCAGTTGTAACTAATAGCCATGGCCATAACTGTATTGGGTAAAACATGGTAAAACTTGGTGGGTAAAACCATGGGAAAGCCATCTAATTTCACATGAGAAGTGTTCAAACACCTTGTGTTGGTTGATGCATACAGGGAGTTGCACTACCCAACATGTTGTGGTCAGCCAAGGAGTATTCAATATTATGCATAAAGTATGATTAAACCTCACTGCCTTATAACTTATAACCCCAATCCCCATGGTTATGGTTATATTAGTTACCCCATGGTTATTGAACATAGCTATGGAAAATCACCATTTTTGGAACATACCGGTAAATCATAAATATAAATGGACCATTTTCCATGGCTATATCAAATCACCAGCTGGGTACATTGTGTGAGATTCCCCTGTCCCCAGGCACTACGCATCGCCTGTGACAGTGATTTGACCGCCACGCAGAATGCGGCGCAACGTCGCGGGTCCCGGACATGATCCCGGAGATCCCAGCTCCGTCGACGTGTTGGTTGAGCGGTTGACGAGGGCTTATGGTAGATACCAAGTGGGGCCCCCGTTTACGATAGCGAAGTTCATTTATAACTTCAATTTCACTATGGTTTATGATACCACAATAACATCTTATAACATCTTGTAACTATAGTTATATAATGGGGTTTATAATCCATCTCACAACTGGGGGCCACATTGTAGATATATTTGATTATATTTGGTGTCATTTATCTTTTGTTGGGTTTATCAACCAACTACAACCAACTGGGAGGCACCATCTAGTTGATATCTTCCGCTAGTTGTCCAATTTTTCTCATGGTATTTGCCGCAAACCGCAGGATAGGCATTAGTGAGAAACCCCCGGGGCCCTGACGAATGGGAATCCAGTCAGATCAGGGTCGATTCCCGAAACAAGAACTAGGCTTGTCTGAAAAATTAGGGGTAAAAACCATGTAAAAACCCTATTCCGTCCTTTGGTTTATCATCATTTTCCCAATGATTTCCTAGCCGTTTCTGGAGGTCAATGCCTCATTTCTAAAGCCAAATACTGCTCAGTTGAAACCGTTCTACATGGACATCCCACACAAAATGTGACCCCGGGATACCCTCAGTAACATCCACCAGATGAATGGACATATAAGCGCCGGCTTATATCGTATCTAATATGTTTTTTTTTTATTGTTTAATAGATATAATATACGTATATATTATATATATATGCATGGCATTGGATGGCTTGTTTATGCTAGGTTATACCCAGTCTAGTTTCATGTTTCATCTGGAATTGATATGCATATACACAATATATTATATAAGTGTATATATATAATATATATATATATATAATATGTACAGATATCTATATCTCTATTTATATATATATACAGAATTACATACTATATTGGTAGGTGAATACCATAAAACATCATGGCCGAATCCTCCCTTTCTTTTACGTTTTTTTTGTTCGGCTAAAAGGTGCGAAGATCAACAAGTTGGCCGCGGACCTGGCGAAGCTGCTGAAGCCCACCGCCGCCTCATCGGTGCCTGGGAACGAGAGGATTTTCATGGGATTTACCCTCTGGTAATTTGTTACATAGCTATTGAAAATCACCATTTTTAGTGGATTTTCCCATTGAAAATGATGATTTATAGTGGATCTTCCCATTGAAAATGGTGGATCTTTCCATAGTTTTTTGTATGTTTACCAGAGGAAACCCATGGGTTGTTGAATGGCTTTCTGTTGCCATTCATTGGGGAATTATAGTACCCATATATAGCCATAATATATATATATATATGGAAGTGTGTCAAAACCTTGTACCCCTGTAGTTCACATCAAAATAGCTGGGATTTATGGATGTGAATAACCCACTAAAAATGGTATTAATTTAATAGGTATTGATCCATACCCATATATATATATATATCTGGTTGGTGGTTTGGAACATGGCTTTTATTTTCCATGATAATTATATGGGATGTCATCCTTCCCATTGACTAATATTTTTCAAGATTGTTAAAACCACCAACCAGATTATAAATGGAGGTTTTAGTGGGAAAATCATCGAACTAAATGGGCAATTTTCCAGTTCGCTATGTTAAATTACCAGAGGGTAATGGAATATGAATGGTATTTAACAGAATGTGAATGGAATGTTAGTGGAATGTTTTGTTGGGATTTCATGGGATTTCACCGGATTCCAATGGGATTTTGAATGGGATTTTTGGGATTTCACCGGATTCCAATGGGATTTTGAATGGGATTTTTGATGGGGGTTCAGTGGGTATACCGGTGTCCTCAAACGTGGCTGGAAAATTATGGAACTGATTGGTGAATTGTCCAGAAAAAAACACGTTTGATTGCCGAAGGGTAACTCTCCCAAAAGGGCCAAACTTTTTCATTCGAATAGGGATTTGTTTGGAAGAACGTGAGGGCGAAAGGGGGGCATGTTTCTTTTTTTTATGGGAGAGTTTTAGCCAGCAAGCAGCAAGGTTGATGGGGGTCAAAGCGGATTTGATCCAGCAACATGGAGTGAATTTGAAGAAGTTGGGATTTATTGATTGACCCTTCACCCATTTAACATAAATCCTGAATGACCCTGAAAATTGCCAGTTCTTCGTGGAAACATACATAATATAAGGCCCCTATAAATATTCATTGCAGGGTCTATGAAAAATTTACCAGAGGGATCAGAGGTCCAGAGGGTATTCCAATCACTACAATGTGAGGCCCCCCAGTTATAAGTTGGTTTATAAGCCCCAGTAACTATAGTTATAAGTACCATAAACCATAGTTATTGGAGTTATACACCAACTGAACGCTATCGTTTGGGGGCCCCACATTGTAACAGAGATTTTTTGTTTACCAAACTCTGGGATTTCAGCTCAAAATTGGGAGGACAATCCATGAGGGATTAGAAAACAGCTGGTCAAGGGGAGGTGAGCAGTTCCTACCCAGCTTAAAAAACAAAGTCTTCGTTGAATTGGTTTAAGTGAAAACCTACAGGAAACCCCAGGGAAAGCCATGGTTTCCGGTGAAGATTTTCCCAACAAAACACCAATCCCTTGATCATTACTTCCATAGAAATATGGGTACTAGAGCATACAATGTTTCTTAAATGACCGTACACATAATTTGATCCCTGGGCCCTGATATATTGGACCCACAACCAGCAACCAAGCATCTTTGGGAAATTGTTTGGGAAGCGTGGAGATTTCGGGCGATAACAATACAAAAAGATACAAAAAGGGTATCCATGTGGCCACCTTTGCTTAGGGGTTGTTGATTTTCGCCGGCTCTTGACTTTCATGGCACCTCATCTTGCCCAATGTTTCGGTAGTGCTTTCAAGTACCGACGCTGCAGTCATCCGTGAGTGACTGTGCTTTGGTGAAAGTGAAGGGGCAGCTGGAGAGGTTCACTGCCGAAGAGGCATCCATTGACAACTGAAGCAGTGAACCAAGGCGGTCCCAAGAGGAAAAAGGATGAGTTGGTGGAGGTGATTATGTTTGCCGTGGCAGCAGACTCAAAAGGGCAAAATCCGCAGCAGGAGATGCGCGACCACCGAAAAAACGATGGGCCATGTCCTAGAGCAGCTCAGCTTAAGTAATCCCCTCGTAAAAGTAAACATCCCCTAATTGTTCCAAATATGTGTCAATCGCCATCGTTTCTACAAGGTATTGGTTTGCATAGATGGGACCCCCAGTCGTCATCCATTTCAAAGCATTTCAATGGGTTTCTCCATCATAAACAATCCAGCTCTTGAAGTATTCCCACGCCGATGGAACCCCCCAACTGATCAAAGGGAATTTCACTGTACCATATAAAGCAATTTTGGATGGTTTGGGGGTATCCCCATGACTTTGGACGCCTTCAAACGGCCAGTGAACTGAGGAAGACCTTCATCCTGGTTACTTGAACTTGGAGAAGACCGAGGCTGCCAGGAGCCTCAATTTTTACGAAGAAAGACCTGGGGTGCGACAATAACAAGGAATGGAGTCATTAGTTAATAGTCATTCATAGTGATTAAATAGTGATTGAATAGTGATTCGTAGTGATTAGATAGTGATGTAATGGGATTAATACTGGGTCAACCTTGCTTAGATACTAACTGGCACGTTAATCTTTTGCTATCAATGGTAAAATGTACTAACCAGCTACAAATTAGGTGCTTTTTTGGCAGGTATCTAAGATTCACCATGTATATGTGAACTATCAAAGATACCTTGGTTGCCTTGGTCGGTCATGACATGGGAATTATACGACTTGGGTTATTAGTGGGGCTTATGAACTAATCCATATGAATGGGAGACCTCTCAACCAAGTATAATGAGATGGGATAGGGCTATTTTTTTATGGCTTATGTGATATGTGCCAGTTTCACAAGTATCATCTTGGTTGCCCTTGGCAATTTGTGTTGCCCCCTGAACTTAGTTCGACATTTCAAGAAAAAAAGAATCCCCGCTACATCCTTGCTGCATCATGACCCCGACTGGCTCAAAAAATGTCTTCAGGGACTTGCAACTAGGAAACGAGACTAATGATAAACCGATGATTGTTCATGATACTATTTTCCACTCACATGTTTCATCAGTCATATGTTAAATTTGTTACTCATTGCATTTCTATTCTTCTTGTCTTGTCACATGTGACATGTGTGTTAAATTGTTAGTATTTGCTTACGTCCCAGACTCTTTGTTAGTCGATTAGATAAATCATAATTCATACTGTATGACATCATATTAAACCACATTGCATCATATGTATACATAATCTAAGTTCATAAACAAGTTTCATTAATCATTAATCACATTACATCATATGTATACATAATCTAAGCTCATAAACAAAATTCATTCATTCAAAACAAAAGGCACCATGAATAATGGGATTATTAACCATTATTAATCATTATTAACCATTATTAACCAAGGTTAACTCATGTTAAATCCCCAGGCTTCCTGGTTTGGCAAAGATATAAACTCCGCACCGGCTTACCCAGGTCCTCTCGGAATTCTGCAAGGTGCCAGTGCTTGGGGTGCTTGCGACGTGTTCAAAAAAGTGGATGAGTTTGAGAATTCTCCAGTTGCAAGTTGGTTTATAAGACAAAGTAAGTATGGATATATCATGATATATCTACCTTATTTTTTGGAATTATACACGTCAACCAACTTAGCTAATGAACTTGGGCACCACCTTGTATAAATGTGGAGAGGTGTGGTTCCAACTTTTGGACAGGACCTGACATGCGTTGAAGGCTTGGAGCAAGCCAAACCGGTTGCTTGTTCTTCAAGGGTAAGATTTCTGTCTGAGATATTTTTTGTGATTTGTTCAAAGCAACTTGTGCGATTTCGACAGAATGGACAGTTTGCAAATTCAATGCATCAGACGGCCTATTCTACATCTCTTGGAGGTTCTTCTTTTGTGCTCCCTGTTGTGGGAGAGAGTGCACTTTCCATTGGACTCACTGATGATTTTCCGTCTAACATATTCTAAAGTCGACTTATCAACATGATTTCAGAACATGTTTTTTTTCCTCGGAATTTCCCACTTTTCGCTCCACTTCCCCGGAGTTTTCTGTTTTTCTGTCCGCCAGGTGTTGAGTCAGGTTCAGCGCGAAGCTGATGTGGCATTGATCCTGAAGCTGAAGTGTGCCAGGCGCCGGGACGGCGTGGTTTTTGGTGGCAAAAATCGGAGTCGCTTTGCTCCACTGCAAAAGTGGAGTGGCCGCCGGCTTTTATGTTTCTGTTTAATGTACTGTACAATATTGTATAAGTATGTATTAGTATATGTTCAAACATGTACTTGTTTATTATTTCTTGAACTGCTAAGGTTGTTTTCCTGATGATTTTCTTCTAACGTCCTAATATCCGAAGTGAGAATTGGCCGATGTTCCTGAGATTTGTTTGTTATGAACCCTGGTGGTTCGACGTTGTGTTCGCTTCATTGAGTGTTGCTAGCAAGATGCTCTTTTGTTCGAACCCCACAACGTTTGGATGGTAAAGTAATTTAGTCATCAGCTATTTTAATTTATTATGACATTACTAGTTGATACTAGTTGTGGATAAGTTGTGGATAATGAACCCAAGATTTTTCTATGTCTAAACCTTTTGGATTTGGACAATTTTTACGGTAAACCCAAAGCGACCGTGTAAGCCCCCCAAATGTTGATCGTTGCCGACCAGCCGTTTTTGTGCTGGTCGGTTCAACCCAGCGACCCTCCAGTCTACCCTCTGGTAAACTAACATAGCTATGGAAAATCACCATGTTTAATGGGTAAATCAACTATAAATGGCCATTTTCAATAGCAAACTGTTAGTTTACCAGAGGGTAAATGGCCCTATTTGTTGATTCGACATCTCGACTTCGTTGTTCAAATTCCATTTTTGTTGGGTCATTTATCGACAAAACCATCAAAATAGCCACTTATAAGTGGAACTGCACCCCCAAGCAGTTTCTGCCCAAAACAAATGTGTCCCTCCTTTGCATCCAGGATGGTTGTGGACATCTGTTGCTATGTCAAGGATTCCATCGCGAATCTGGACATGTCCGGCTGCCCAGGATTTTTCTTCAGAGTTGCCAGGGGGTCAGTCAGCACAAGGTGGAGGAATAAACCCTGTTTGGCTGTTGGTTTTATGTCCTTTTCCACGAATTTCATCCATGTCTCAAATTACGGTGTCTTCGGGTTTCGATGTTTGGTTTTCTCACATCTTCACGCACTCTTCACACATTCTCACAGACTTGGTTAAAGGATGTAAAGGGAACATCATATACAGGAACAACATAACCCCTAGAATTGCAGTTATGGCCCAAAATTGTACCAGTTATAAGTACTAACACGTACTAACCAACCACCATTTGTGATATTTGTGGAATCATCCCATAGAAATAACCAATTAGTTCACGAATAGCCATGGCCGTAACCCTTTTGACATTCTCACAACCTTAGCCTGGCTGTTCAGCGTCATGAGGTCGGGCGACAAGGCTCCCTTAGTGGCTTGGAAACAGACGCTCGGCGGCTTCGGTGTCCTCAAACGTGGCTGCAAAATCCCCTATGAATTAATAGCAATTACCGGTAGTGGAGGTTTGTTCATGGGAAAAGCATGGGAAAATCATGGGAAGCTATGGGAAATCTCCTAGATTAGCGGAGGTTTTTTTCATGGGAAAAGCATCTATAAAAGGGTGGATTTTCCAGCCCAAGCCATGTTTGACGACTGGTAAATAGATCCAGTCCCCAGTACCCATGGTTTCAAGTCAGACATTTAACGTGATTCTGGGGAGACGGGATTATATTGGAAACTTGGAAACCATTATATTTTTTTTAGTCAATTGATGGGAATATTAGATGGGGAATATGATAGCTATTAGATGGGGAATATCAATAATTAACTAGGATTTATATGGATTTATCGTAGATTGGTAGATATATGATATCTGGTTGGTGGTTTGGAACATGACTTTTGTTTCTTTTCCCCAGTTGGGATGATGATCCAATCAGACGAACTCATATTCATATTTTTCAGGGGGGTAGGGCTCAACCACCATTTAGAATAGTATGATGATTGACTACGATGACAGTAATAGATGGAAACACATCATAGCAGTAGTAGATGACAGTAATGATAATAATCATAGTCAATCATCATAATTAATGATCATCATAGTCAATCATATATTGGAAACACTGATAATTAATAGTATGATGATTGACTATGATGGCAGCAATAGAAGTATTTATTGATGACAATAACAATGATGATCATTACGTTTTTTTTTCTCAACATCCCGATCTAGTCTATTCTTTTCTTTTCTGGATTGTCACGAAGGGTTCCAGGCATAAATACAAGAATGGCAAGAAATCGTCATATGGTATGTATGTTCTTGTTTGAAGCTGGACCAGTGTATATAGTTCCAGTTGTCCGCAATTTATTAACTGTATGTCTGGATATGTTTACATATTTGCACATTTTGTAGATATGTGGCAAATGTCGTTCAACAAACATGAGGTGATATCAAGTTATATCCCTACTCTTACTCTCTATGCTCCAACGTTCTTGTTTTGTTTGTTTTTGTTCCCTCAGTTTTCTATCGTTTTCCCTACCACTGAATACAACACTCACAACCCCAATTCTTTGAACTATCTCCATGATCTGCCTCTTACATAGTGAAACACAACATGTTTTCATCATTTTCCCATATTTTGTTTTGACCTGAAACCATAGTAATCATCTCCAAGGGGACAAAACCACAAAATATTGCCAACTACATATATGTTATATGTATATATACATGTAACTATATATGTATATATATATATTTACACATATAATATATATAATATATAATATTATATATATACATACATATACATATACATATATAATATATATATAATATACAATTATAAATATCTACGTATGAAGCATGGACTTTAGCTCACATATCCCAACTATATTCCAATGACCCCAGGAACTGCAACGTCATGCTGGGCGCCCTAAAGTGGCTGGGTCTGCTCTGCAAGAGTCGCATGGCCCGGCTGGTGCTGCTGCTGACGGGCCGCGTGGTGTTGCTGGCGGATGTGGCTACAGCCTATCTGGAGAGGGGGGTCTGGGTGAAGTGGTCAGAACGACCTCACTGCGACCTCACTGGAAACCATAGTTAGTAAGGGAAATCATCCCCAATTGGCCTTAATTTAGGTTAGTGAAATATATTATAATTTACCCAGGTATATATATATATATACAATTTTGTGTATATAATAATAATGATAAGACTGTAATTATTATTGTTATTATTATTACTATATATATACACATCTGATTGTGGCTTGGTTACCTTGTTGTCATGAATATCTAAATATTGTACTAGTGCATACGTATATATTGACCAAGGTAATTCAAAACATTTCTGTTATACTTACCTTGACATGACATATATATATATGGGATTATTTGGTGCTTTTCACCAAACACTAATGTTATATAGATGGGATTCTAAGTGTGCCACGTGCGAAATCGAACGATACCCGGCCTGGATCACCATTTTCATGGGCCATGGCTTCCAGAGCTATCTTAAATGACCAGATGGAAAATAAGCAGACGGTAATTATACATACATACACATATATATATAAATACATAAATATCCTGGAGTAGATAGAATTCAGAATACCGCATGTTCAAAGGAATTCCTTATTTTTGTGTCCTTTTTTTGTGAAATGTCCATCCTCTATACCTACTCCAGGATAAACTCAGGATTTTGGGAGGTGGCTGCCATCTTGCTTGGGAGGTGCAGTTGGGATTACTAATGGATATAACCATGCTGATCAGCTACATCACTTGGGATATCAAATGATATTAAACCCCATCATTACAACTACATCACCACTTGTACTAGAACTGCACCCCCAAGTAATTTTATTTGTTTTTTTGATGTGTCCGCTTGTTTTTTTTTTTTCGCAAGTATGTTCTGACACCTGATTATACCATAAGATATGTCACCATTATACCATATTGCGTTCAATGTTTCGAAGTTCAGCATATGATAAATCTCTGACTCTGATGACTAGCAACTTTTTTCTCTAAGCATCCAGAGCTTCCTGCAATATGTGGATGCCAATCCAAAAAGAGTCCCATGTATAATCCATCGTCACTTGCAGTAGTCCAAAAAAAAACTCAAATTGGAGCCAAAACCTACCTTGTTGGATAGTAATTTTCTTCTAATGTCTTGCATCTCTGTATATTCGCTGTTTTTATACCCCCAATAGGCCCAATACCTGCCCGAAGCTCCAGTCCGCTGGGTCATTGGTGGTGATCTCAGGGAGATGGTCGTGTATGTCACTGTGAAAGATTTACATAGCGATATTTTTTCGTGATTCAATGGGATTTATCATGATTTAATGGGACTTTATATGGGACTTTATATGGGATATGAATGGGATACCCTCTGGTAATGACTGTTACAGTTCGCTATTGAACATAAGGATGCTGGTTTTCTACAGCTATGTTAGTTTACCAGAGGGTACACTATGTGCATGCCCTCATTTTAGATATGGGTATGGATCAATACCTATGAAAATACCATTTTTAGGGGAATGAACATCCATTTTAACCCAGCTATTTTGGGGTTCACTAGGTACCAGGGTTTTGACCCATCCCCATATAATGATAATTAAGTGAGATTCTTTCACAGTGACATTGTATGGCACTGTTAAAGAGTCAAGCATCGTATCCCATGATCATTATCGCCTCGTCCTCCAGTGTAAGATAGGGCCCACCAACCCTGAAATCATAAGGTAAGATTACGCTAGCTGTCTATCTCATAGGTACCTGCAAGATTAGGACCATATATTTTTTCTTTATATATGTGTGTATATATTTATATATGTTATATTTCTCAACTTCAACTACAATTTCAATCATAGAATCCATAGATGGTGTAGAAAGTATCTTGACATTTTTCTTTCACAAGTAGTTCTTAACATTTTTGAATCTACAACCACTTTATGTTAGGAGATGTTGTTGCTACTCTCCAGTAAACAAGCATAGCTATCAAACATCACACGTTTTTTACAGGTAAACCGTCGAACTAGAGGTTTAATTTTTCATGGCTATGTTGGTTTACCAGGTTTACCAGGCTCAATCCCTATGAATCACCCACCAAAAATTCTTCAACACAACAACATTAAACCATAAAAAATCCACCAGCATCACAGGACTCCATTTAGACCCACATCTCGTTACAGTGATGTTTAAAAACCAATTTTTCCATGTTTTTACCCACTTTTCCAGCCATATCTCGTGGTTTTTTCCCTATTTTCACCACTGGAAAAAAACCACTGGTTCAACCTCCGGTAGGAGATGCATTTCGCCGACGCCTTGAAGCCGCAAGAGTTGGAGGTACCGTAAACCGTGTCGCGATGTCGCGCAGAGAAAAAGTATCTGGGTTTAAAAATCCTAGGGATCAACATGGATTTTATATGATTTTATAACCATCTATAAAATCCAGAAAAATCCAGAACAATCCAGGTTTTTGTTAGATGTAATTTAGCATTTTATAACCTATTTTATAACATTTACCCAGAAAAAATATCCAGGTTTTTTTACATGTAATCTATGACCATCTATAACCATCTGCAACCATCTATAAAAACCTAGGTAAATATCTGGGTAAATTCTATGGTAAATTCTGAAAATACTGGTTGGTGGTGACTGGAACCATGGAATTTTATGACTGACTTTCCATGAAAAGTTGGGAATGTCATCATCCCAACTGACTAAATTATATGGATGTGGGTCAAAATGGAAGACCTAGGGGACCACAGATGTTAGTCTAGTTTAGTATTAACCATCCAATTATTGGGGTCCCTAATTTTGACCCATACCCATATATATATATACATATCACACTGATTTTCCCGGGATATCCATTGTTTCATCCCATAAAATCTCCATGGAAATCCGCTGGATGCCTGGCACGAGGTTTCACCAAGGTTCCAACCCAGGGACTTTTTCAGGGTCGAAGTGTTACTGGAACCATGGTGAAACCCAAGGAAAATCACCATTTTTCAATGGGTAAATCCACTATTTCTATGTCCATGTTCAATAGCTTTTTGTATGTTTACCAGAGGGTACACATCGTGGGTTTTTCCACATTTTGGCATGTTTACCCTATGACGCTGCAGAAATTGCTATGTTTTTTCCTGTATTTAAGTGGGATGAATTCGGTTTTGTGGCGAAATATGTGGGAACACAGGGGGATATGATGGGACCTCATATATCTATAATATATATATATATATAATATACATGACATGTATACATTGCAATATTGTCCCCTTAAACCATTTTTCATCATGGGTCAAGATACCAGTGACAGATGTGTTTTATTACTGCAGTGCGATGAACCACAGCTACAAGCAAAAAGTAATGGGCAGTTGATGTCTCCCTATCAAGAAAATATCTAATGTCAACCCTGGAGTTTTATTCACCCCGTTTACGGCTATGACTAATTGGGAGGGTACCATACAATTGGTATCAGATTACTGTTGGTGACACCCGTGAATCTGCCGTGTAGCCTAGCCGCTAGTGATATCCCAAAGATGTGGCACCAAAATTTTCTCCTTGGGTATTGACACCAATTTTTTTGTGGTGTATTCGGAACAATCTCCATTTACCCTCTGGTAAACGTTTACATAACTATGGAAAATCACCATTTTTAAATCAACTATTTCTATGACCATTTTCAATAGCTAACTGTAACAAATTACCAGAGGGTATTCATCACGGTTGCTTACAGCAATGGTCATTTCCCCATGTCCACGGTGGTATTTTGGCCATGGCCATGCTGGCCAGGAACCGATTGATTGCAGGTACCGATTCCATATATTTTTGGCCAAAAAAGTAAGGGAAGATCCCCACAAAATATAGCCCAAAATATGGTACTAAGTTAGTAGCTCCATTTTAGGATCCTGAATTTTCCACTGATCTTTTGTTTGGAGGGTCACTAGAGGCGAAGAACACTCCGTATTATGAGCAGTGAATTGACTATGAATAAGATTGTTGTACCGGTACAGGACATATTGAAAAAGATACATATATTAGTAAATAGCTGGTTGGTGGTTTGGAACATTTTTTATTTTTCCATATATTGGGAATAATCATCCCAACTGACGAGCATATTTTTCAGAGGGGTTCAAACCACCAACCAGATAGGAATTATTGGCCTATCATCGAATTTATTTTAATCGTTGATTCAGATGTTGACAACTAAGATCATGAATGGACTAACAAAGAGTCTATAAACAAAACACAATACATTGCTGATCAACCAGCCAAGAACTAAAAGTATGTTGGTGATCATCTATTGATACATATTGATAACAAAGGTATTTTATTGATCAAAAATCACCAAAATCATGAATAAACAAAGGTATATTGATTATTAGCTACTGTAATATCATTATAGCTTATAGATACTTATAGCTTATAACTATTAGTCAAAACAATTAAGTATAAGTTTTATAACTTCTAACTCTATATTATTCTCACTTTTATAACTAGGCACTTTGGCACTATTGGCGAGAAAAATCACATTTCCACAGTGCCATCCTGCCAGCTGTCAGGGTGGCCCAGTGCTGTTCCTGCCACAGCTCCTGCATGTCTTGGCGCTGCACATGAAGCAGGCCATGGTCAAGTTAGGTGGATTCATATATGGTCATTAGTATTGGTATGGGACCATATGGGTATGGATCAATACCTATTAATACCATTTTTAGTGGGATGAACATCCATTTACCAGCTATTTTGATGTTCACCAGGGGTACAAGGTTTTGACACACTGCCATATTATTTCCAGGCACATAAGACCAATATTCATGGAGTAATTTGGTCATTGAAAATTGTGGAAGAAGATTCCAGGATGGGAACACTTAGTCCACTTTCATAGGGATTCATACACCTAAGTGGAACGGGGTTTTAATGGTGCTGGATTTCACGAAGATCTCATCCATATGTCATGGATAAACAATGACTTTTTCATAGTGACACAATGGGGACATAACCAACAACCAATATTGAGGGATGGGAATCATCAATCCATTTCAATGGAGATTAAAAACAATAATTATTTGACGGCAACGATGGGCACTCTTTGTTTTCGGCTGGTGGTGATCATCGTTGTGCGTTGGCGTTGCTGTTTCCAAAAGGTTTGAGGCGCCAAAAATGTAATGTCCCATTATAAGGATTCCCATTGTGGGATGGATGACGACAAACCATGTACCATGAATGTTCGACTATGGAACATATAAACATCCAAACCAATCTATAAACACTTCAAAACATCTATAACATCTTTAACAAATCTGTAACATCCATCATGAATTCGGGCAAAAAGGAGCCGCCCATGGATACGAAGGTTTGACTGGGACATTGGAGGAGGTATGACCAGCTGGATCTTGGGTTTCAAACATGGTTCCAGCAACCCAATGATGGGGGAGATTTATGAACAAAATTTGAACAAACAATTAGGAATGATGGGGCAGTTCATAATCTTTTGTTACAATTTTGACATTTGGAACAAAATATGAACACACAATTGGACGCAATGCCGACATATCTGCAACAATTGAGGATGGGGCAGTTGACGCCGGGGGAAACGGGGCTCCATCGACCGCTTGGGGTCTAATGTCAATTTTTAATGGTACCACATGGTACCTCCAATTAGTCACAGCCGTTTGGGGTGAATAAAAATCCTGGGTTGACGTTAGACAGCGACATTATGTAGTGTTATGTATATATGTATATATAAATATCCATGATATCTTTATTCACCCCAATTCTGATGATGCAAAAATCCAGAATTTCTGAAAATCATACAACGTGGATGGTTCAGAAATCCTGGAAATCCTGCACCAGTTGAAAACGGGGGGCCAAACATCCCATTTTTCATAGGCTTTCTACCATCCTTTTGGTTTATGGGATGTCCTAGGGCCCATCCACCCTATAGGTATCCAAAAAGCCAGGTGCCACCAGATGGCGCCTATCGAGAGGTTCAGGCCATTGGACAGGATTCACCCTTGAAAACATGGTGATTTTATGGGATATTCATGGGGGGTATCATGGGATATACCATCTGCTGGTTATGACTAACACTTTGCCATGGAAAATCAATGAAAATCACCATGCTATTAACAGGTAAACCACCTATTTCGATTAGGGCCATGGAAAATACCATGGCGAACTGTTAGTCATAACCAGAGGGTATCCTATTCATATCCCATTCACATACCATATAAAGTCCCATTAAATCATGATAAATCCCTGTGTTTTGGAGCTTTCTAAAGAAACATCCCACAGAGCATATCCCGATTCAGATTTGGGGTGTTGGACGTAGATACTCTGCTCCAAAGGTATCTTCAAATCATGTTGGACAATACAGGATGGGGCCCCCAAAAAAGATAGCGTTCAGCTGCCTTATTTTCAAATATTATAAATGGCTTAATTCTATGGTTTATGGTAGACATAACTATAGTTCATGGGGTTTATAAACTGATAAAAGAGGGCACCATCCTCTAGATCCAAATCGTGAAACATAGCCCAAGATTCAGTCAAATTGTTCGTCTATTGGTATAAAAACTGAACACCGGATGTGAGATAAAGTGGGCTCCTAAATGCGGTACGTAGCAATAGATCCACAATAGGCTGCTCATTTTTAGATCTGTTTAGATATGTTTAGTACTTAACCATCCGATTTCTCGGGTAATGATAAAATTTGAGCCATTCCCACATGTGCGGTTCATGGATCTTTCATTGGGCAAAAGATACCGAGTTTTTTTGGCGAAAAATGGAAGATTTTGGGTGGCACAACCTACCTTATATCCCTATTATTTGATGGTTCAATGGAGGTTTCCTAAAATGGAGGTACCCCCAAATCATCATTTTAGTTTTAGTAATTTTCGTATATTATGGTTACTTGGGGGATCCATGACTTAAGACCCCCCCATTCTTTTTGAAGCTCGGCCTGCCTGTGCCATTTTTGCCGCTAGGGCACACTAAGCTCGTACCTGTTGCTGGGCCTGGCTGAGAAGACTGGGCACTCAGCTGGGCACTTGCCGGATGGAATCCCCGTTCCATGTTGCGTTCAGTTGCCGAAGATGGTTGTGACTGAATTCTATGGATTATAGTAGATATAACCAACCAGTATAAACCTGGGGTTTATAAACATTTTTTTTTACCAACATTCACATCACTAGTGGCTTAATCATGGTTTATGGTATATATATGGGGATGTATCAAAACCAATCTTGCTATATTTTGGGGGATGAACATCCATTTACCAGTTATTTGGGGTTTCACTAGGGTACCAAGGTTTTGACTCATACCCATATTTATATATATATATATATTGTATAACTGTACTTTTCATGGGGATAAACCAACTTATAACTGTGCGGGCAGTTCCTATGGCAAAAAAACCTATGGTTAGAATGGGTCAAAAACTGTGGTGCTATGGATTTGAAGCTCCCTTGAAGTTGGGATATGACAAAAAACAGCCCTACAACTATGGTTACCCTCTGGTAAACAGCCACATAACTATGGAAAGATCCACCATTTTTAATGGATCAATCCACTATGTCTATGGCCATTTTCAATAGCTTTTTGTATGTTTACCGGAGGGTATAAAACCCACTTCTTAGTACAACTGCACCCACTTGGTCAATGAAAAACCATGACATCGGGTTGGAATGATGGTCAGCGGAATGATATACCAACATTTACCCCCAAAAATCACCCAGTTTTGTAGGTAAATATACCAGCACCATGGAGCGTATGGCTATCCCAATCATTGCCGAAATATGTTGGATCATGTTGGATGATTTTAATGATTTTAATGTTGACCGAAATGGTGATTTGAGGAGCACCCATGCGGAATTCGCCAATTCGCCCAGCAAAACTCAGGTGAATAAAAACCGTGGAAACAGCATATACCGTCTGGTAAACAGCCACATAACTATGGAAAGATCCACCATTTTAATGGGAAAATCCACTATGTCTATGGCCATTTTCAATAGCTACGTTAAATTGCCAGAGGGTAAGCACCTCAGCAACACGCACACGAAGATTTAGCTGATGAACATGGGGCATTTTAGGAACAACACCGATTCAAACACCAAAACATGGGGTTTATCCGAGAAATATGGAGATTCGATATGTTTCATCATGTGTTTTATAACGCTTACCCTCTGGTAAACTAACACAGCAATGGAAAATGGCCATAGACATAGTGGATTTTCCCATGAAAAATGGTGATTTTCCATTGCTATGTTAGTTCACCAGAGGGTACATATAATGTTCCAGTGCAACTTATATTTAAACTTCTGAGGCATTTTCCATCATGGTGACACCCTCGATAGTTTGCTATGAGAACAGTTCACCTTTCACATGTGATGACAATTGATAACAGTGCAACTGACATTTCAACTGGTTTGTTCACTTAAACATGATCCGACTTGCTGCACATTTTTGTATATCATGTATATGTATGGCTTAGTTAGGACAGATAGATTGATAGCTAAATTCACTTATGTAAATATTAAACATCTATGATGATAGGTATAGATTGACAGGTAGTACATGTTAATACTGTATATAATACTGGTTGGTGGTTTGGAACATGATTTTTTCATTATTTTTTCCATATATTGGGAATTTCATCATCCCAAGTGACTTTCACTCCATCATTTTTCAGAGGGGTAGGTTGAAACCACCAACCAGATTATTATTAACAGTATATTAACCATATAATAACCATATAGTAACCATTATTAACAGTATATTAACAGTATATTTTCACAACTAGATATATTAACCGTCATTAACCATATATTAACCATGATCAACAGTATATTAACCATATATTCACCATATATTAACCATTTATTCACCATGATCAACAGTATATTAACCATATATTCACCATATATTAACCATATATTAGCCATATATTAACCATTCATATTGACCCAATCGATTCGGTCGAAGTCACTTGGTCTGACGTTTTTTTTTTCAGTGGAGGCTGCGAGAACTCTTTGGACGTGCCGAGATCCGTGCCATGGTTGACATGCGGGAGATATTTTGGTCGAATTGGGGAGTAGATCTTTGAATTAATATACACAGTGGGGCCCCCGTTCGATAGCGTTCAGTTGGTTTATAAGTGGCTGAATTCAATGGTTTATGGTAGATATAACTACAGTATACTACAGTTAATGGGGATTATAATGGTCTATAAACCAACTTATAACTGAGGGGCCCCATCCTGTAGGTGTGTCTGAAAATGGGTATACCGTACCGCAGCCATTAGGATTTCAGTCCGGGACAATGATAATTTTTTTTTCCAGTGGATGGAATGGGGTAGCCCATTTTCAGGCAAATGGAGGTACGTTGGTACCATATAAGGCTATTTTGGGGGGTATATCTAGTATATCCCCTTACATAGGCCTGAACAATGGGCATTATATATGGTATATGGTATATAATACCATTGGCATATATGGTATATATAAGTATATGGTATTTACAAATAATAGATGTCCTTTTCCCATTGGTTGGTTGATTAATAGAGGGGTTTGAACAAACCCTTTAACGACAGGTAAATGATGATAGATGGTATACCAAACCCGCCCCTCTATATTTACCAAAAGGACATTATTGATGTATGGTAAACAAACATAGTGGACATTTCGACAATTATATGGTTGATGAAGAAAAGGATCGATGATGGATTTTCCAAATCTATGTTAGTTTACTGGAGGGATCTGGAGGTTTTTAATTATTGCTATTTCATTGGGACAGCAATTGAACATACCCTCCGGTAATTTAACATAGCTATTGAAAATGGCCATTTATAGTTGATTTTCCCATTAAAAATGGTGATTTTCCATAGCTCTGTTAGTTTACCAGAGGGTAATTGAACTATTTTTGAATTTTGGGGTACCACATTTTTCAGTCAAACCACTATTTTGCTGTGGAACAGTGTGACATGTTGTTTCGTCAATTCACATGATGCTTGAATTGTGTTATCCAGTAATCTCCTGTAAGTGGTGATATTGTTCTGGTAGCCCATCGATGAAGTTTGAAAAAGTAACAATTTGGATTCATTTAGTTTCCGGAGTATACCACGTTTTTTTTTTTTTGCTTTCCCTATTCAGAGGCGTCTTTTGACACGGAGTTGTGAGCTACCTATTCTAGTCCTAAGCCGGTATGAGTTTTAGATTGTTTCAGACAATCTCGTACATTAACATGGGTATGGATCAATACCTATTAATACCATTTTTAGGGGGATGAACATCCATAAATCCCAGCTATTTTGATGTGAACTACAGGGGTACAAGGTTTTGACACACTGCCACATGTCAGCACATATACTCTCTGCACTTAGTTTCTTTTGATGGCAAGCAGAGTCCTCGGAGTCGAGTGGGGAAAATGAAATAGTGTATTATAATTCTACAAAGTGGGGCCCCCTAGATAGCTAAGTTGGTTTATAACTCCAATAGCTATGGTTTATGGTACCTATAACTATAATAGTTAATGGGGTTTATAAACCATCTTATAACTTGGGGGCCCCACCTTGTAATGATCAAGAATAAGAATAATAGTAATAAGATGACAGTATGGTAAGTACTATTATAAGAATATGGCAAGTTCATTATAAGATAATAATATGGAAAGTTTATAATAATAGTAATAATAAGGATGATAAGAATAAGAATATGTTTCTTATATACCATCAAATTTGGAGAATTTTGAAGATAAGTCATCACATTTGGAGGTTCTCAAGAGGTACCTTCAAGTGTTGAGACCAAGCCGTTTGGGTATTGGTGGTCGAAATGAGGTATCACCGTATCCCCATGACCAGTCCAAATCTGCTCAATGGATACCCTCTGGTAAACTAACAGACTTTGCTATTGAACATGGCCATTTGAAAATTTAGTTGGTTGATTTACCCATCAAAAATGGTGGTCTTACCCGCCGCTTTTCGTATACCAAAGGGTAGGTTGAAGGGAACAGACCCACCCCGCAGATCTCCGCGGGCGAACGTGTCAGGTGGCCTGAAATTCTTCGAAGGCACTTCTCCGCTGCCGCTCTTATTACTCCGAGCCATGTGGGAAAGCTCAGTGCAGGGGACTGCAGGGGCTGCGGGCCCCAGGAGAATTAAATGGGTTATAGCATGTTATAGCCCGAGCTATATTAATAGAATATCCTCAGTTAGATTAATCGGTTAGATATACAGTACAGTATATATATATATGGCTTATAAGCCACTTACTAATTGGGATGCACAATATATCCCATTATATCATAATCATATTATATCCTCATCATTTTCCCATGAATTGTTTCACGTCTGGATTCTCTGGTTTTTCATAATGCAGAAAAATTGCCTGAAGTATAGCTGCTGGAGAGCTGCCCTTTTGATCGCCCCAGATCTTCTGGTGTTTCCAGAGCCAATGCAGGCCCTACAAATTAGAAGATGCGACCCCTGTTGAAGAGTGTCTGGAAAATGTCTGGTCTATACTTTTTCTCCCGAGTATGGTCGTCTTGGGGTGTAACGCTACATTTAAAGGACATCAATCCAAACAAAAATCCCTATTGTTTTGGAAAATCATGAACCTTTAAAATCAAAATGTTGGCACCTTTAAATCTTTAAAACCAATGTCGCATGGCGGATTTTCCAGCCAACGATCCCCATGAAAAAACCAGAGAGCGACATCCAGGTGCTTCCTCGGAACAGTGGTCTGTGCGTATCGTGCGCCTAAGGCTCCGGCAGTTTTGTTTTTTTGAGATTGGTGACTTCATGATGATCTGGATAGATCTGGAATAGATTATAACCTCAGAAACATGAGGATTTATGGTATAAAAAATGAGGAAATTTGGTCATCAAAAATGAGGATTTAAAACTACTGTGTGTGGCGATAGTTATTAGATGGAAATGATTTGTTTTTCTGTTTTTTGGAGATTTGGGACAGATGACAATTGGGATGATATACAATTTATTGGGATTAATCCAGGGAATAGTGGGATTTTTAGCGGGACTTCATGGGATTTAATGGGATTTAATGGGATATCTGGATGAATTATGCTGACCTTACTGCGATGTCACTAGAATGATTGTGAATAAGAGAGATCATCCCAAAATAACCGCACGATTCAGGTTAGTGGAACATTTTAGTTCTCCAGAATGATGGCAATTTCACTTGTTCAACATGGCTATTTAGCCAACAAACAGTTGGTAAACAGCACGCAGCAGTGCAGGTTTTCAAAGTGGACAATGGACACCCCCTCTTTTTCTCAAGGAAAGTCACCGATGAATGGAGGATTTTTTGAAGCCACCTGCAATTGTGGATGGTTTGCACTAAAGTCACTAAAGGTATAGGTTTGACTGAACATGTTTGGTGTAGGCGTATGTTTCATGTCCAGGGGATAAGAACCATGTTTACTGACCACTTACAACGATGGCCCCTGCTACTGACTACTTCTGCGGCATCCAAATCAGCTCCTTTTTTCTAACCTCAGTTACGGCTGGTTGTAACCAAGAGTCGTGGCCGCATTTGTCATAGTACTTAGATTCTCTCAATACCGTAAAACTACTGAAATTGTGGGGTAAAAAGCAGTTTTCAAAGTACTTGGAGGGTCTAGGTAGAGACATTTTGGCGAATTATTCCCATGAGTATTACAACTAAACTAGAACCGATGGCTGACTCCTTTGGGTTATCCCTGGCTGATTCGGCCATGGCAGTTTCTGTGTTGATATGGGATTGTCACCAGAAAACCATGACAAACATATTGTGACAAAAACGGCGGCAATGGAAAATCCCCTATAAAATGAAGGTTTCGCGCTGGTAAGTCCATCCACATATGATTGCCCTTCCGGGTCACTTGTATAGACTCGGATTTTCAACAACTCACCCCCATCCATTGGATCTGAATTTGGTGTCTGATTCATGGTCCCGCAGAGAGTTGGTGTTTCAAATCGATGTCTCTCCATGTAAATAATTGTAAATCCTCATGTTTTGGCTCAAAACATCTTAAACACAGATGTAATTCTGATTGGTGGTTTGGAACATATTTTATGACTTTCCATATATTGGGAATTTCATCATCCCAACTGACGAACTCATATTTTTCAGAGGGGTAGATATACCACCAACCGGCAATTCTGATATGATGTATATCTGGTTGGTGCTTTCCAACATTTGGATTATTTTCCGTTTCATATATGGGATGTAATCCTTCCCATTGACGAACTCATATTTTTCAAGATGGTTATTGCACCACCAACCTGTAACCTGTAACCTGTAACCCTGTAACCCTGTAACCCTGTAACCCTGTAACCCTGTAACCCTGTAACCCTGTAACCCTGTAACCCTGTAACCCTGTAACCCTGTAACCCTGTAACCTGTAACCCTTAACCTGTAACCCTTAACCTGTAACCCTTAACCTGTAACCCGTAACCTGTAACCCGTAACCTGTAACCTGTAACCCGTAACCTGTAACCCGTAACCTGTAACCCGTAACCTGTAACCCGTAACCTGTAACGTAACCTGTAACCTGTAACCTGTAACCTGTAACCTGTAACCTGTAACCTGTAACCTGTAACCTGTAACCTGTAACCTGTAACCTGTAACCTGTAACCTGTAACCTGTAAACCTGTAAACCTGTAAACCTGTACCTGTAACCTGTAACCTGTAACCTGTAACCTGTAACCTGTAACCTGTAACCTGTAACCTGTAACCTGTAACCTGTAACCTGTAACCTGTAACCTGTAACCTGTAACCTGTAACCTGTAACCTGTAACCTGTAACCTGTAACCTGTAAACCTGTAAACCTGTAAACCTGTAAACCTGTAAACCTGTAACCTGTAACCTGTAACCTGTAACCTGTAACCTGTAACCTGTAACCTGTAACCTGTAACCTGTAACCTGTAACCTGTAACCTGTAACCTGTAACCTGTAACCTGTAACCTGTAACCTGTAACCTGTAACCTGTAACCTGTAAACTGTTTGCACCTAGAGGGTGAATGAATCAATTTGTGATTTGAGATTTGAAGTTCCACTGCGAGATTGATATTTCCGCAGCACTGACGTCAAGAGGTGAGGACGTAAACCCCAAAAGGCTTTTCCAAGAAGCCTGGGCGTCCAGTGTTGAATTTGACTGGTGGTGCCTTGAAAAGAGTGCCTCAGTCCGGTGCTTTGCCATTTGTTTTCTCATGGCCTCTACCGGCAGTCCACCAGCATCTGGTCCTGAAAGCAATGGTGCTTCAGACGGCAGTCGTGTGCAACGCAGACAACTGCTAGTACCAGCTTCTCAAAGAGAGAATTCTAGAACACCCAGAAGGAATACTTCAGGTGATGAGGATGAACGACCTGAGTTGCCGGATGTACCTATGACTTCCCACGATGCTCTGCGCGATTTAGTGGCCAAAGAACTAGGGAAGTTTCTTCCGACTCACATCACAAAGTGCATCCACAAGCAATCTCAAGATCTTCGAAGTCGCATTCAAGCTTTGCAAAAGACAAATGAGAGGCAAAAGAAGTTAGAAGCCGAAATCACTACCATGCGAGCTGGCCAGCTTCCTCCTACTGTGAGGAAGGTTTCTCATTCATTTGAAACAGTGCTGTTGGATTCTCCTGCAGTACAAGACGGCTTGTCGTGGCAACTTTCCCCTGGTGACACCATTCGAGTCGCAAAAGAGAAGTGCCATTTGGCGCACCATTTAGCGCAAAAACAGTTGGATCTCCAGCTTGTTGACCTGCACCGCAACAACCTCAAACAGTATGTGAAGCGATCAAATTTTGTTTCCCGCTGTTCTGAACATTTCCAGAACCGTGAAGCTCCGTTAAAGACTTCTTGCTCAGTCTTGGACATCGATGACGACGACGATGACCACACTGCATTGACCCATGAACTTGGCATGACTGAATTGGAGTTTCAAAGCATGGTTGTTTCCCTTTACAAGAAGATTGTCGACAACGAGGCTGCAAAGGTGCTTTTGGACAAAGCGAGTGGTGATAAGAAGCAGGAACAAAAGAAAAAGTTCTTGGAGCAGGTTGCCAACAAAAGCCCTCAGGAGTTCTTGAATGAAACCATTGATGAGCGTCTCAAATTGTTGACCTCAAAGAAGGGCAAGGGCAAAAACAAGCAGACTCCTTCTACTTCCGCCCAGTTGGCAGTTGCCGCAATTCAATCCCAGACTGGAAAGATTTCTCCAGACCAAGCAGGTGCCATTTTGACCACCAACCACACTTTGCCACCAAACCCCAAGCCCAGCCCCGCAGCAAAAAGTGCCCCACAAAACAAAGGCAAGGGCAAGGGCAAAAATAAGGGCAAGACAACAACTACTTCCACCTCGCCCAGCAAGGGCGGCAAAGGCAAGAGCAAGAGCAAGGGCAAGACTGCAGCTAGCAGCCCCGGCAAAGGAAATGGCAGTGGAAGCAAAGGCAAAAGCAAATCAAAAAACGACAACGCCTCTTGGGGGAAGGGGGGCGGTGGTCAGAAAGGCAAGGGCATTGGTGGCAAGCCAAGCTTGAGCGGATGGCCCATTGGAAGGTGGGTCAGAAATCGGCAATGAAACACAGAAAGCTGCTACGCTGGTTTTGGAACATGGTGGAAGGTATGCCTTTGGGAGATTTCTTTCGCCTTTTATCTTGTGGATGCAATGTCCCAGACATCATGTTCTTTGACCATATCACACGTAGTGCTCAACAATTTGCTCCTATGGCGCTTCCCTGGCCTCTAGAATACCTATTGGCCCACCATAGCCACAAGCACGTGTTTGGCGGTTCTCGGTTGCCTTCCTTAGGAACAATTGGTTCTGCTTTACAATCATGGGAACACAAGCTTCGCTGGCAGCTAGTTCTTGGTGCGCAATCGCGATCACCATGGTCGTTTTTGCATTCCAAGAAGCCTTATACAACACCATGTGAAGCCGTGCTCCCTGCTTGTGTTGAAGAATTCTTCCAAGAAGCAAAACGTGCTTTTTACAGTGAAGTTCTGCGGATTCGTCATCGTGCTTGCAAGATGCGCAATCAGTTTTCAAATCAATTTGGTATCATTCGTTGTGCTTTTGATTTTCTGACATATGGTCCATACCTGGCATTGAAGACCGACAAAGATGGTGGTTTCTGCCTCGTTTTGAAAACAGTTTTAGCTGACGAAACTCGGTTCATTCTCCAATCTGATTCTCGATATTCTGCAGTTACGACCGACGCCGGATTTGCTGGTGCCCTGTTGGAAGAATTCCGTGATGCAGTTTTTTCTGCAGCCAGTTTCGCCCCAATACCAGAGGATGAAAAGCGAAGCTTCAATGGTTCAGTCCTGCAGCCAGCCCGGGTTCACAAATCAGCAAGCATTTTTGCTTGTCTGAAGTACACAGTAAAGACGCACAAGCCGGATGGCCAAGTGTCTTTCCGAGCCCTACACTCGAGTGTTAACACCCCACTGCAAGGTGCCATGAAGTTCATTTCCTTCCTGTTGAAACCACAACTTCGAGCTCTCCCGCACCTTCTGTCCAGCAGCGCGGAAGTAGCTCGGAAACTTTCTGCGTTGCGAGTTGGTCCCGATGCACATTTGTTGAAGATCGATATAAAAGATTTTTTCATGGATGGCAGTCAGTCTGAAATAGCTGCAGCTTGTATTTCTATGGTTGATCCTGCTTGGCAATCCACTTTCCGTTACCTGATCGAGTATATCTTGGACACTCAGTATGTTGTCACGCCTTGCTTCCCTGATAAGGTTTACAAGGTACGACGTGGTGCTGGCATGGGTCTGCTTTGTTCTGGCGAGTTGTGCGACTCCACATTTTACAAAACGGTTGAAGAACAAATTTTAGGAAATCTGGACCGATGGGGTGTCATTGGATATTTCCGCTTTCGTGATGACATCCTGGTTATCATTGACAGCCCATATACAACAAGGTTGGATTTCGTTTATTCTTTGAAAGCAAAAAGCACAGTGTGGCAACTGAAGGTCGAGACAGTGTCAAGGTCAGAAGTTTGTTTTTTGGACATGCGAATTTTCAAAGGTGAGCGGTGGCATGCAACAAAGTGTTTGGACGTGACCATTTATCACAAGGAAACAGCTCAAAAACAAATTCTGGCAACACACAGCTTGCACCCTCCACACACACATTTGTCTTGGCCGAGATCTTTGGTACATCGCATTTTTACTCTTTGCAATACCCGGACATATCAATTTGAGGAGTTATCCCGCCTTAAACGCATGCTTGCTGACAGATGTGGGATGGAACATGTCTTGCTTGTTTTCGATCCACCTTTGCGGCGTGCGCCCAAGCTAGCTTGTCATGACAGCAGAAGAGTTGCTTCCAGGCTCATCATTCCCTACCACCGGGAGTGGGAGATTGGATCCATTCACTCAACTTTGCAGCGGATTTTGTCCCGCTACTCTGAAACGTTGCGCCAGGAGTTCAACGCAAGTGTGACAATTTCTATTGCGCACACTCTGCAGCAGAGACATTTGGACATTCAATTGTGGAATTTATGGCTGCAAGATCGTGGACGGCGGTTGGGGACGGAGGTGGATTAACCTGTAAACTGTTTGCACCTAGAGGGTGAATGAATCAATTTGTGATTTGAGATTTGAAGTTCCACTGCGAGATTGATATTTCCGCAGCACTGACGTCAAGAGGTGAGGACGTAAACCCCAAAAGGCTTTTCCAAGAAGCCTGGGCGTCCAGTGTTGAATTTGACTGGTGGTGCCTTGAAAAGAGTGCCTCAGTCCGGTGCTTGGCGATAGTTATTAGATGGAAATGATTTGTTTTTCTGTTTTCTGGAGATTTGGGACAGATGACAATTGGGATGATATACAATTTATTGGGATTAATCCAGGGAATAGTGGGATTTTTAGCGGGACTTCATGGGATTTAATGGGATTTAATGGGATATCTGGATGAATTATGCTGACCTTACTGCGATGTCACTAGAATGATTGTGAATAAGAGAGATCATCCCAAAATAACCGCACGATTCAGGTTAGTGGAACATTTTAGTTCTCCAGAATGATGGCAATTTCACTTGTTCAACATGGCTATTTAGCCAACAAACAGTTGGTAAACAGCACGCAGCAGTGCAGGTTTTCAAAGTGGACAATGGACACCCCCTCTTTTTCTCAAGGAAAGTCACCGATGAATGGAGGATTTTTTGAAGCCACCTGCAATTGTGGATGGTTTGCACTAAAGTCACTAAAGGTATAGGTTTGACTGAACATGTTTGGTGTAGGCGTATGTTTCATGTCCAGGGGATAAGAACCATGTTTACTGACCACTTACAACGATGGCCCCTGCTACTGACTACTTCTGCGGCATCCAAATCAGCTCCTTTTTTCTAACCTCAGTTACGGCTGGTTGTAACCAAGAGTCGTGGCCGCATTTGTCATAGTACTTAGATTCTCTCAATACCGTAAAACTACTGAAATTGTGGGGTAAAAAACAGTTTTCAAAGTACTTGGAGGGTCTAGGTAGAGACATTTTGGCGAATTATTCCCATGAGTCTATTACAACTAAACTAGAACCGATGGCTGACTCCTTTGGGTTATCCCTGGCTGATTCGGCCATGGCAGTTTCTGTGTTGATATGGGAATGTCACCAGAAAACCATGACAAACATATTGTGACAAAAACGGCGGCAATGGAAAATCCCCTATAAAATGAAGGTTTCGCGCTGGTAAGTCCATCCACATATGATTGCCCTTCCGGGTCACTTGTATAGACTCGGATTTTCAACAACTCACCCCCATCCATTGGATCTGAATTTGGTGTCTGATTCATGGTCCCGCAGAGAGTTGGTGTTTCAAATCGATGTCTCTCCATGTAAATAATTGTAAATCCTCATGTTTTGGCTCAAAACATCTTAAACACAGATGTAATTCTGATTGGTGGTTTGGAACATATTTTATGACTTTCCATATATTGGGAATTTCATCATCCCAACTGACGAACTCATATTTTTCAGAGGGGTAGATATACCACCAACCAGCAATTCTGATATGATGTATATCTGGTTGGTGCTTTCCAACATTTGGATTATTTTCCGTTTCATATATGGGATGTAATCCTTCCCATTGACGAACTCATATTTTTCAAAATGGTTATTGCACCACCAACCAGATTAGTTTCAGTCTTCCCAGTTTTCAATACCATCCACTTTCCCAACTGACTTTCGCATATTTTTCAGAGGGGTAGGTATACCACCAACCAGTAATTCTGATATGATGTACTGGTTGGTGGTATCAAACATTTGGATTATTTTCCCATGTAAACGCTAGTTACCCTCTGGTAAACTAACATAGCTATGGAAAAATCACCATTTTCAATGGGGCAATTTTCAATAGCTATGTTAGTCTACCAGAGGGTAACCATATATTTCACCAGATCATTTCCCTGTAAATCCGCCATTTTTCCCCTAGAGCTTCACACCGCAGGCGGGTGATACGCACCAAGAGGTCCTGGAGATGTTCCACGACACCGAGCTCTTCGGTGCCCTCAGCTGTGAAGGGAGAGAAACCATGGGTTTGCTATGGAAAATCACCATGTTTAATGGGAACATCAACAATTTCTATGTCCATGTTCAATAGCAAACTGTAACAAAGTACCACAGGGTAAAGTTGGTTTATAAACCCCATGAAAAGTAGAGTTATATCATATATGCACCATAAACCTTGATTAAGCCACTAGTGATGTGAATGAATGTTGGTAAAAAAAAAGTTTATAAAGCCCAGGTTTATACTGGTTGGTTATATCTTCCATAACCCATAGAATTCAGCCACAACCATCTTTGGCAACGCTATCCAACGAATTTTTTTGCGGCCCCATCCTGTTGGAAAATCTGGGGAAACTCGTGGAAAGGTGGATTTCACCGTAGACTCGTAGACATGTTGATGAAGATAATATTTGCGATAAAACTCATTATCTAACTGAGGATATACCGTTTGGACAATTAGTATAAATTAGTTATATAGTCTATCCAAAAACTATTAATAACTGGTTATATATATTAGTCATAACCAGTTATATAGTATACGTACCTATATATACAATCTGGTTATGACTAACATAGCAATCCGGAAAATCCCCAAAATCAAAATGGAGGTATCGTTCGCTGGGAAAATCATCGAACTTTCGATTAGGGCCATGGCTTCACCATGGCTATGTTAGTCATAACCAGAGGGTAATCTGATTCGAATCATTCGATCTGATTTGGATCATATATGGGGAACTCAACAATGGAAGGTACCATTCCGGAGACACAGGGTTGGTGATGTGAAGTGGAGCCAATGAACATCAGGGCCATGGTGGGCCCATGAAAAAATGGAGCCCATAGCTTTGTGTAACTTTGCCATTTTGATGGGAAACGATACTGAACAGCTAAAAGACAAGTTAGATGCGATGCATTTAAGGCTTGGCCAGGACTCAATGAGACGTTTTTAGAAGGGTAAGATAGATAGATACCGAAATCGGGAGAGTGATGACCAGTTGATACCAGTTACATATTGGAATAGAATAGAGTATCATCTAAGAAATGTCATAGACATGTCATAGAAATGTTGAAATGTGGCGAAGCCGCTGCGGCTCTCCCATGAAATCAGTGCGCATTGGATTCATCTTGAGGGACGACCGTGGGGGAAGCACAAGCCCAGTCAAAGTTGGTTTATACCGTTTCATGATTGGGTTTATGGTATGATACTTTCATGAATGTCCATAAAATAACAAAATCATAGTTTTCCTTCATATTCCTTCATCCACGACCTATAGAAATATTTCATGGTAAACTGGGGATCTCTCAAAAAAATCAATCGCTCGAAATCACCACGGGAGCCATGCACAATGGCTCAAAATCTCTCGATACATGTTTGTTATAGCCACATGACATGTTGTAAATATCAAACATGTGATAGTGTCCACCTGAAATCAAGAAACATAGTACATTACATTTAGTGAAAATTTAGTAAATACCCCGAGTGAAGACAGACAGTGAAACTCCTACCAAAAAAAATCAATGCAATCAACTATTACCTATATCTAACTAAACTATTATCTATATAGATATAGATGATTTTTCTATATTTTCCTAAGATATCTATGGGTTTTCCTACCAATTGGCACCTCCATGGCAGGGCCTTCCGTACGGCCCTGCCGTTCCATTGACCGAGGTGTAGTGGGCATCCTGGTGTCCATCTTGCTGTCGGAGGGGCGCAGGGAGAAGGGCGCCAAGTTGCCACAGACGGTGATCTCCATCTGCGTGCAGGTGCTGAGAAGCTGAGGGCAGGGCGGGTTCCGTAGGGATGGTGATGTGAATTTCATGGGAACATGACGGAAAAATGGGAACATGACTTGGAAATTGGAGATTTGAACTGGATGGAGATTGGATGGGGAAAATTCTTCAAACATATAGTTCTCAGATTGAAAAATGGCGAAAATTCGGAGATCGGAAAGCACTGATTTCGCGGAAGTTTACCGTGCCTCCATGATCCTCAGAGAATCCCACGGTGAATTGATCCAAACACCTCTTGGAACCATAGTGGAACCATAAAGATTTGAGAAAGTTTAAGATGGGTTTGACATTGATTTTCTTGGCCGCAAAAAAAAACGTTTGTTTTTCTCATGGGATGGGATTCAATTTTTCTGTTTCCAACCACTAAGTCGGAGTTGAAACACATGGCTGGGAAAGGATGAAGCCATATGAAGCCTCTGTATTGGAATCAGCCACACTGGAAAACAAGTTGCTGGTGTTTTTCGGTGACAAACGGATCCACATTCTTTTTACGGAACTCATGTGTTTTGGCTTTCTGAACGAAAAGCATCTCTGAGTTCCTTGAAGATAGTCGCTTTGCCATGTTGGATTGTTGCCATGTTTTGCCATGTTTGATTCCCATTATAATTATTGGTACAATCCATGTCGCAAGTTCACCACAGAAAAACGGCCGTTCATCCCCAGGCTGTGAGGATTTTGAATCACATCGCTCGCATTGATGGGTCCTCAGCGCCCATTTTCTGAAAGGTGGGATTTCAGATTCAACGTCCCCTCTAGCCATCTCCAAAGGGTAGAACAGTATATATATATAATTATATAATATATATGTTATATATATATATCAGTGTAGAAAGGTAATTTATCATTTATTTGGATTTTAGAAATATTAGAAATACTTGTTCTATCCTTTTGGGGAGGACTATAGTTCATCAGGCAGGTGTTTGGAGATATACCTGTTACATGGCACTTCAGCATGTCCTTCATGCCGCTTAGTTTTTTGGGGCTCCGTTTTTTTTTCAGGATGTGACCTTCGATGAGCTCCCAGCTTTCCGTGTTCAATCTATTGTTGCATGGTGTAATCCTGTTGAATTACCGGTCATATCCAGTTCTATCCCAAAAAAACATTCCATATTCAGACAATTCAGATAGATCACCAAACATAACAGACATGTAATCTGAATTTTAGTGACATGTATAGATACCTTATGCCCCCGAAAAGATAGACAAAGAAAAAAACACGGATCATCCTAGATCTGTAGATCTGTAAAGAACTGGTCAGTAACAATGTGAAAATAAGTCCCCAAAATGAGGCTTACCCGGCCTGGTAAACGTTTACATAACGAACTGGAAAATCACCACCATGCTATCAATGGGAAAATATCCACTATTTCGACTGGGCCATGGCTTCAATAGCAAACTGTAACAGTCATTACCAGAGGCTTATCCCATTGAAGTAGGCCGTGAACGGTGACCCTGAGGACCTGCCCACGGTGCAAAAGACCCTGGGTGCCAGCAGGCAACAGGAGCCGGCTTTACTGCGCGTTGCGAGGCTTTCAAAGAGTGGCTGAAAAATAAGGGTAAAATATATGGCAAAATATGGTAAAATATAAGTATATACTCTATAGTTACATCTCCAGAAATAATGATATTATGAGGGTTTAACATGGTTTAACATGGTTTAACATGGTTTAACATGGTTTAACATGGTTTAACATGGTTTAACATGGTTTAACATGGTTTAACTTACCAAATGTGGGGAAAATGGTGTACACCAAAGGAACATAAATGGGGATAGTGACTAGTGCGTTGCATGGATTGCTGCACATGTTTCAATGGTTACAGCATGTTATAGCCGCCAACTGGTTGACAATCGGGGATGGTTTAGTGCTGTGGATCCCAGATTCTCATAATTCTGTCAGCTTCAATTTTCCAAGGACGTACAGGGTTGCCCCAACGCATTTACCCTCCGATAACATGGCACTGGAACATCTGCTATCTTTCATGGGAAATTCGTCTACACACGAGGTATTTTCCAATGACACATTTCATTACCAAGCCTACATGCAACTATCAGCCACTATCGGCGTGGGTGGAAGTTGTTGTTTTACCTTACCAAAGCCATGCAATGGCCATGAAACCCCACTGAGAAAATCCAAAAAAAAACTTTGTGGGTCGCCTTGGAAGGTGGGTCGACTGAAAGAATTTTTCCTGTGCTTTGGAGGATTTTAATAGTGGTTAATAGTGACTAATAGTGAGTATGGATCAATACCTATACATACCATTTTTAGGGGATGAACATCCATTTACCAGCTATTTTAATGTTCACCAGGGGGATAGGGTTTTGACCCATCCCCATAGTGAGTATAATAGTGATTGTAATAGTGGTTAACTGTGGATAATGGTGGTGAATATAGTGATTCATACCTGATTTTCATGTGGGTAAAACTGGCTGTCATGTTTACCATCCCCCAATCATCAGCATTTTTATAGGTGGTATGCTTAACATTCCCAAATGCTTGGTTTATCATGGTTTTACCATGTTCTACCCACATTTTTATTTTTAGAGTGTACCATTCTTTGAAATGTGTTGAATCTGCATTTCTCGTCGTCCAATCCCCATCATCAAATCTTCCGGTCAAATCTCAAAACTTAAAGTACTTCCTGCCGCTAAATATCCCGCCTTTTCTCAGGTGGTGGGTTACAATCCATATCTTCGCGGTCTATCTTTGCGCAGTTTCCCCAGATCTTTAGATGATTTCCATCTTCATCCAATGGAAACGAACTACCCAAATCCCATGAACAATCCCAGTTTGGGTAGCTGAAATCATGTGAAATCTCTATTTTTCATTATTTTTCCATATTTTTCCTCATTTTTCAGGGAGATGTCTCATGATTTCTCCATCTACACAGGTTTTTTGTTTCGTTGGATCCAGGAGTTTTATCACCTGCTGGTCTCGCTGTTGGACTATTGCGTGGGTCGCTTACCCGCCAGTATGGTGAAGCCGGGGCCTTCAGGCGGCAGCGGTTTTTTTCGGATGGCTGGGGTTGGAGGGTGCTTTTTTGAGCTGATCAATGGCTATAAACTATGGCTATAAAATGTTATAAACCCCCATAAGTTGGGAGTAGTTGCCTATAACTGTAACTATGGTATACTATGGTTACATATCCACTTAAAACTGGAACTGCACGGCTGCACGGCTGCACGGTGTGGAGTTTTTCAGTTCTCTTTGTTGGTTTGTAAATCCGCTGACTTACATCCCCCAGTTGCACAGTTGACCAAGTTATGCCCCACCTTGTATTAACCAAACCGGCTGTTTTGATGTGAGCTACAGGGCTACCAGATGTCAATGGGAAATGAATGGAACGTACAGTTTGTAACTGCAGCATGTCTATTGTGAGTGTTCAGCTTGTCTTCTGGTCTTTTAACATGGCGAGAGAAAATACCATACAATAATATGGAATAATCAGCGAACTAAATGGGTGATTCCTACATTGATGGAGGGTAAAATAGGACTCTACCAACATGTTACCCTCTGGTTATTTAACATAGCCATGGAACATGGCCCATTTATAGATGGTTTACCTATTAAAAATTATCATTTTCCATGGCTCTGTTAAATAAACAGATGTTACCCCTAGTGATTCTTAACAAGAACATTTTCCTGTTGTCAAAACATGGGATTGGACAATTGGACCTGACCATCAAAGACCTGACCTAAAAAAAGATATCGGGGTATCATGAAAAAGCACGCGGCTGTATATGGGGATACAATGGGCTGTACGGATATATCCACCTATTTTTGATGTGGGTTTGTCCGAAAACGGTACATATCCATATCCCACATCAATTGTTTTTTATATCCATACCATTCCATACATATCCCATATCAATTGTTTTTTTGTCATATTCCCTGGGAAAAATTGGTATTTGAGACTCTGAATTTTCAGACACGGCCTGCAGGTCAAGCTGAAGAGAGCGATCTGCTACATGCCCCTGGGCGGATGTGGTGTGTTCAGCGAAGACGGAAAACAGGGCAGCGGGTGAATGGTGAACATGTTATTGGATGATCTCAAAATATCTATAGAGCTAGAGTTGATAGGCGGATTGAGCTAGTAGCGGCTAGACTTGATACTCAGATTTTGTCTGCCTCTTGAAGGGCTTACTGAATGTCACCGCAGCCAATCAAAGGTGGAGGTCAGCAGCAGGCAACGAAGCTCTCGCGAAGTTGCGAAGAAGATTTTTTAAGACATGGCAAGACGAGTTGGTTGGTGGTTTCAAACATTTGGATTACCCTCTGGTAAACTAACATAGCTATGGAAAATCACCATTATTAATGGGTAAAACAACTATAAATGGGTCATTTTCAATAGCAAACTGTTTGTTTACCCTCTGGTAAATTAACATAGACCCTGAAAATCACCAATTTTTAGAGGAAACGAATCTTTCAACCCCGATGACTGGCAGGGTCAACAAGTTAATTTACTGGAGGGTATTTCCCATATATGGGATGTCATCCTTCCCATTGACGAACTCCATGATTTTTCAAGATGGTTGAAACCACCAACCAGCTACAACTGAGGGCCTGTTCTCTCCAAAGATTTCCGACCGATGACAGAAGGCAGATGCAGATTGTGCTTGTGTAGAAGGCTTTTTCGTGAGATTGGATACACACTTCAGCTTGGTATGGTCTTGACAAAGTTCATAGAATTGGATGATGGGAAAATTTACAGGAAAGCCCATCAAATTTGATGGTAAAAACCATGGTTTCCTGTAGATTTTCCCTTAAATCAATCCAACGAAAAGTGGGACTGAAAATTGCTTGCGCCAAAAACATAGCGAGTCATCGCCGCGTGGGGATGGTCTTGGAGCGAGTTCAGATCCTCCCTTTCGATCCCTTTTGCTGGTTCGACAAATTCATAGCTATTTGCATTAGTGTTTGTAAAGCAATAGGATCAACCATCCCCAATTTTACCATAAATGGGTGGGATTCCAACCATCAAAATATATGGTTTATGACATTGCTTTACTAACAGTCGGGGTAGCATGAGTAATTTTCAGAAGTGTGGCATTGCTCAGCTAAAGGTTTTACCTTCATGGGTGTTTTCCAATTGAGACTATGTTTTTTATTTTAATGGCACCAAACAAGATGAAGCCCACGAACCCGAATGCTCACACGGATGTTAATGGTACAGATGTCAATACACATGGTTACGCAGTCACGCACAATACCTTTCTGCAATAGTCTATTTGAACAGTCTTGTGCATGTTCCCTTGTTACCAGTCTGCAGTGTGGAGTGCAAAGTGTAGAGTGTGGAGTGTGGAGTGTAAAGTGTGGAGTGTGGAGTGAGGAGTGTAGAGTGGGGAGTGTAGAGTGTGTAAAGTGTAGAATGCGGAGTGTAAAGTGTAGAGTGTGGAGTATGGAGTGTAAAGTGTGGAGTGTGGAGTGTGGAGTGGAAAGTGTGGAGTGTAGAGTGTGCAGTGATGAGTGAGGAGTGTAAAGTGCAAAGTGTGGAGTGTGGAGTGTAAAGTGAGGAGTGTAAAGTGTGGAGTGAGGAGTGTGGAGTGTAAAGTGAGGAGTGTAAAGTGTGGAGTGAGGAGTGTGGAGTTTGTAAATTGTAGAGTGTGGAGTGTAATGTGGAGTGAGGAGTGTAAAGTGGAAATCGTTGAGTGTAAAGTGTGGAGTGTAAAGTGTAGAGTGTAAAGTGTAGAGTGTGTGAGTGTAAAGTCTAGAGTGTGGAGTGTGGAGTGTAAAGTGTAGTGTAAAGTGTGGAGTGGAGTGAGGAGTGTAAAGTGTGGAGTGTAAAGTGTAAAGTGTGGAGTGTAAAGTGTGGAGTGTGGAGCGTAAAGTGTAGAGTGTGGAGTCTGGAGTGGAAAGTGTAGAGTGTGGTGTGTAGAGTGTGGAGTGTGGAGTGTAAAGTGAGGAGTGTAAAGTGTGGAGTGTGGAGTGAGGAGTGTAAAGTATAAAGTGTGGAGTGGAGTGTACAGTAAAGTGTGGAGTGTGGAGTGCGGAGTGTGGAGTGGAAAGTGTAGAGTGTGGAGTGTGGAGTGTAAAGTGGGGAGTGTGGAGTGTAGAGTGCGGAGTGAGGGTTGTAAAGTGTAAAGTGTGGAGTGTGGAGTGTAAAGTGTAGAGCGTGGAGTGTGAAATGATTGTGGAGTGTAAAGTGTGGAGTGTAGAGTGTGGAGTGTGGAGTGCGAAATGTAAAGCGTGGAGTGTAGTGTAAAGTGTAGATAGAGTGTGGAGTGTGGAGTGTAGAGTGTAAAGTGTAGAGTGTAAAGTGTAGAGTGTGGAGTGTAGAGTGTAAAGCAACGAGTGTAAAGTGTGGAGTGAGGAGAGTACAGTGTGGAGTGTGGAGTGTAAAGTGTGGAGTGTGGAGTGGAAAGTGTGGAGTGTGGAGTGTGGAGTGTAAAGTAAGGAGTGTGTAGTGTAAAGTGTGGAGTGTGGAGTGTAAAGTGTAGAGTGTGGAGTGTAAAGTGTAGAGTGAGGAGCGAGGAGTGGAAAGTGTAGAGTGTAGTGTAAAGTGTGGAGTGTAAAGTCTCAGGTGAGGAGTGAGGAGTGTAAAGTGCAAAGTGTAAAGTGTGGAGTGTAAAGTGTAGAGTGTGGAGTTTAAAGTGTAAATTGTGGAGTGTGGAGTGTAAAGTGTAGAGTGTGGAGTGCGGAGCTTCCCCCATAGACACGGCGACGCCACAGGAAAACCAGAGACTCGAGACGAGACACGTGGGAGCACCAAAACGAACATTTCGTGCAAGACTTCCTCCAATTTTGATATTTTCGACACGTGATCAAACAGGTTGGAATGTCACAAAGTGCCACGCCTGCCACGCAAAACGACATGACAACCTGCTTGGACACATTCGAAGAGGAGATGTTTTCCAGCTTCCCCCATAGATACGGTGACGCCGCAGGAAAACCAGCGACTCGAGACAAGACACGTGGATGCAGAAAAACTAGCATTTCGTACGAGACATCCTCCAATTTTGACATTTGCGACACATTATCAAACAGGTTGGAATGTCACAAAGTGCCACGCCTGCCACGCAAAACGACATGACAACCTGCTTGGACACATTCGAAGAGGAGAGGTTTTCCAGCTTCCCCCATAGACACGGCGACGCCACAGGAAAACCAGCGACTCGAGACAAGACACGTGGATGCAGAAAAACAAGCATTTTGTACGAGACTTCCGGCAATTTTCACAGTTGGCAACATGACAAAAGGACAGGTTTTGCAGCTTCCCCCATAGACACGGCGAAGCCACGGGATAACCAGACACGCGAGAAGAGACAGGTGGGAGCACCAAAACAAGCATTTCGTGCGAGACTTCCTCAAATTTTCACACTTTGCAGCTTCAAAATCGACGTTTTCCTACGAGTTTTCCTTAGAACCCGAAAATTGGCAACATCAAAATCGATGTTTCGTGCGAGGCTTCCGTCAATTTTCAGCACATGTCAGAAAATGCCACGCCTGCCACGGAATTTGCACCTTGTCACCACTTGACGCAGCCCTGCCAATGCGATTTACAAAAAAAACGCCACAGGACGCGTCTAAAGTGCTGCGCCTGCCACGAAAAATGGCGATGGACGCGTCCAAAGTGCTGCGCCTGCCACGAAAACTGCAACACATCTTCTGAAAACGTCGCAAAAGTATTGCGCCTGCCACGCAAAACGACTTTCGACACGTTGCAGAACACGTCTGAATGTCACGAAGTGCCACGCCTGCCACGCGAAACGAAGCAACCAGACGTCTGAAACCTCCAAAAAGGACCACCTCTGTAAAACTTCCCATAGGCACGGCCATACGGTCCTCACGCGAACGGTTGCGGACGGTTGCGGACGGTTGCGAACGGCTGCGGACGGTTGCGACCACAAACGCAACGTCGAGCGAACACACCCTCAACCCCCAGACCCCCAGAGTGAAACGGGAACCCTTGCTACGCATTCAGGAAAAAACTTTTTGCCACCTAGGCCCAAGACTTGGTGGTCCAAAAGCTTGGTGGTCCATCCTGTTATATCCTGTTTGTCTGAAATTAGGCGACCCATGTGGCTACCCAATATGATAGTTTTCCCTTTTAGAATTGCAGGGGGTAGAAAACGGTATACCCCATGTTCAAGCACACCCATATTTTTTTTTTTTGTGTGTGTGTTGGGCCGTGTAGGGCCACAATATCGTCCACCGAAACTAAGGAAGCGGTGGTTTTGCTTGGTCTTCGCCTCAGAGCATGTCGTGGTCAACGTTGGTCAAGCACCAAAATAAATGACTGACAACTCAGAATATTGATGATGGATATTTAAGGGCTGCCGCCCCTGCCGCCGACCCCGGAAGAATCGGCAAGGAAGCAAACTAAATTCTGAGGCTTTCGACCTTTTTCCTATGTATATTGTTGTGAACTATATTTGATAGGTTTGAATTTTCATTTGTAAATGGGTTTTTCATTTGGGTGCATGTTGATATTATGATCCTATGGTTTTATGGGTTCACGGATCTAAGTAACTGTACAATAGTTAGATAATATATATATATATCTATACGATAGTTTTGGCCCTATTATTATGCAGCTAGTGTTGCGCCGCACAGGTGCATGGTTGCGCCGCACAGGTGCATGATAGTTTATCAAAGTATACGGGGACCTTGTTTTTTTGGATCCTCCACCTTGTTTTCCGTGTTTTTTTGACCCTTCATGAATGAAATCCTAAATGAAACTCTAAAGAAACTACCCACATGAATGTTTGAAAACCTTGACAAGATTTTCGGTTGAAACAATTAGTTTGGCAGTGAAGGACGGAGAAGGCGCAAAAAAGGAGGCGAAAAAGTGCCTAACGTAACTTCTGAAACCCATAGAAAATGAGGAGATTTCGGAGCTACTTGTCCCGCTCCAAAACGCGGTTCTTGGGCGAGGAAAGACCACGCAAAACCACAGCCCCCGGACGGGGAAACACCATGGCAGTGAAGGATGGAGAAGGCGCAAAAAAGGCGGCGAAAAAGCGCCTAACGTAACTTCTGAAACCCATAGAAAATGAGGAGATTTCGGAGCTACTTGTCCCGCTCCAAAACGCGGTTCTTGGGCGAGGAAAGACCGCGCAAAACCACAGCCCCCGGACGGGGAAACACCATGGCAGTGAAGGACGGAGAAGGCGCAAAAAAAGGCGGCGAAAAAGTGCCTAACGTAACTTCTGAACATAGAAAATGAGGAGATTTCTGAGCTACTTGTCCCGCTCCAAAACGCGGTTCTTGGGCGAGGAAAGACCGCGCAAAACCACAGCCCCCGGACGGGGAAACACCATGGCAGTGAAGGACGGACAAGGCGCAAAAAAGGCGGCGAAAAAGTGCCTAACGTAACTTCTGAACATAGAAAATGAGGAGATTTCTGAGCTACTTGTCCCGCTCCAAAACGCGGTTCTTGGGCGAGGAAAGACCGCACAAAACCACAGCCCCCGGACGGGGAAACACCATGGCAGTGAAGGACGGACAAGGCGCAAAAAAGGCGGCGAAAAAGTGCCTAACGTAACTTCTGAACATAGAAAATGAGGAGATTTCTGAGCTACTTGTCCCGCTCCAAAACGCGGTTCTTGGGCGAGGAAAGACCGCGCAAAACCACAGCTAACGTTGCTTTCTGAAACCAGAAGAAAATCTCCAGGAAAGCGCCCGGCAGGTGGCCAAAGGACATGCTGCTTGGCTACCAAGGGCGCCATGAAGGGTTTAAAGGCAGCTCAGGGCGCCGGGGAAGGTTTAAGGGCAGCCTACTGCCTAACGTTGCTTTCTGAAACCAGAAGAAAATCTCCAGGAAAGCGCCCGGCAGGTGGCCAAAGGACTGCTGCTAGGCCGCCAAGGGCGAAGGGTTTAAAGGCAGCTCAGGGCGCCGGGGAGGGTTTAAGGGCAGCCTACTGCCTAACGTTGCTTTCTGAAACCAGAAGAAAATCTCCAGGAAAGCGCCCGGCAGGTGGCCAAAGGACATGCTGCTAGGCCGCCAAGGGCGCCATGAAGGGTTTAAAGGCAGCTCAGGGCGCCGGGGAGGGTTTAAGGGCAGCCTACTGCCTAACGTTGCTTTCTGAAACCAGAAGAAAATCTCCAGGAAAGCGCCCGGCAGGTGGCCAAAGGACAGGCTGCTAGGCCGCCAAGGGCGCGATGAAGGGTTTAAAGGCAGCTCAGGGGGCCGGGGAGGGTTTAAGGGCAGCCTACTGCCTAACCTTGCTTTCTGAAACGAGAAGAAAATCTCCAGGAAAGCGCCCGGCAGGTGGCTAAAGGACATGCTGCTAGGCCGCCAAGGGCGCCATGAAAAGTTCAAAGGCAGCTCAGGGCGCCGGGGATGGTTTAAGGGCAGCCTACTGCCTAACGTTGCTTTCTGAAACGAGAAGAAAATCTCCAGGAAAGCGCCCGGCAGGTGGCCAAAGGACATGCTGCTGAGCCGCCAAGGGCACAGGGAAGGGTTTAAGGGCAGCTTACGGCGCCGGGGAGGGTTTAAGGCCAGCCTACTGCCTAACGTTGCTTTCTGAAACCAGAAGAAAATCTCCAGGAAAGCGCCCGGCAGGTGGCCAAAGGACATGCTGCTAGGCCGCCAAAGGTGCCATAAAGGGTTTAAGGGCAGCTCAGGGCGCCGGGGAGCGTTTAAGGCCAGCCTACTGCCTAACGTTGCTTTCTGAAACGAGAAGAAAATGTCCAGGAAAGCGCCCGGCAGGTGGCCAAAGGACATGCTGCTAGGCCGCCAAGGGCGCCATGAAGGGTTTAAAGGCAGCTCAGGGCGCCGGGGAGGGTTTAAGGGCCAGCCTACTGCCTAACGTTGCTTTCTGAAACCAGAAGAAAATCTCCAGGAAAGCGCCCGGCAGGTGGCCAAAGGACATGCTGCTAGGCCGCCAAGGGCGCCATGAAGGGTTTAAAGGCAGCTCAGGGCGCCGGGGATGGTTTAAGGGCAGCCTACTGCCTAACTTTGCTTTCTGAAACGAGAAGAAAATCTCCAGGAAAGCGCCCGGCAGGTGGCCAAAGGACATGCTGCTAGGCCGCCAAGGGCGCCATGAAGGCGCCGGGCGCCGGGGAGGGTTTAAGGGCAGCCTACTGCCTAACGTTGCTTTCTGAAACGAGAAGAAAATCTCCAGGAAAGCGCCCGGCAGGTGGCGAAAGGACATGCTGCTTGGCTGCCAAGGGCGCCATGAAGGGTTTAAAGGCAGGTCAGGGCGCCGGGGAGGGTTTAAGGGCAGCCTACTGCCTAACGTTGCTTTCTGAAACGAGAAGAAAATCTCCAGAAAAGCGCCCGGCAGGTGGCCAAAGGACATGCTGCTGGGCCGCCAAAGACGCCGGGAAGGGTTAAAGGGCAGGGTTTAAGGGCAAGGTTTAAGGGCGGCCGAGGGCGCCGGGAAGCGTTTAACGGCAGCCTACTACCTAACGTCGCTTTCTGAAACCAGAAGAAAAGGTGCCGCGAAGCCACTTTTTCTCGGGCGCGCTCCCCCTGCAGATGGCTGGGGTCGGCGGATTTTATATAGCGAGATAAACATAACTCATGGCCTCATGGTAACTCAATATAATCATTATATGGCTATGGATCAATACCTATACATACCATTTTGAGGGGGATGAACATCCATTTACCAGCTATTTTGATGTTCACCAGGGGTACAAGGTTTTGACACACTGCCATATATATAATTATATGGTCAGAACGATAAGATCCAACACACATGTAACTCACAAGATGTCCTGGTTCCACTACGAAAAGAGAGGGGGTATTCGCCCTGACTTTTGGCAACCACTCTGATCTAGTAATAGACAACAGTATATCACATGTATATACTACCATATCAAATCAAGAATAGTTTATATAGAAGATATTGGATTAGATCAATGGATCAAAAAAAAGTAATTAGGACATATATTATATCTATAGGTACTGTCGATGGTACTTTGTAAACCAACCGAAACCAAACGTTTCAATACTTGTCAGAGAAGGCGCGGGCAATGGGGCTCTCTGAAGTCCGTCAGCGAAAGGGACTGAACGGCAAATTTCATCATAACCTGTTCTTCTGGTGAGGATCATCTTTTCCAAGTGTATTGCTGCCCTGGGTTTCTTACTGTGTGTAATATCATTACCATCCGCATCCATTCCCATTGTTTTCCCATATATTTCCCCTTCCCCAGTGTGGATCTTCCCTGTGCACTTTGCTGCCCCAAGTTTCTACCGTTGGTTGACACGAATATGATATTACCCTCTGGTAAATTAATTTCTTGACCCGGAAAATACCCTTTGGTAAACTAACATAACTGTGGAAAATCACCATTTTTTATAGTTAAATCAACCATAAATGGCCATTTTCAATAGCAAACTGTTAGTTTACCAGAGGGTAACCCATTTTTAGCAGTTTCCTATTCTTCGGCAGCGTCTTTTCAGCCGAGGTTTCTACTGTTTGCAGGAACCGGAAAATCAAAGCATCCTGTGCTACGGCGAGGGTCAGGCGCTCTTGGCGCGACTCGCTTCGCTGCCGGGCCCCAAGGGACGGCCAAGGGACTCCTCGGTGGGCAAAATATTTTTGGGAAGTTTACAAGCAAAGATCATAGTCATAAACCATCGGGATATTTGATGATATAATTTGACCACTGAATTTTCCACCATGAAATTGTGAATGTCGTGACAACCCTTTGAAAGAGGAAGTTGACCATCAAGAAATGATATTGGCCCAGAGATACATGGATCATTGTGAATCTATATCAATCTTATTGGTCATACTGACTCATACTATTCTACCCACCCAAAATAAAGATCTTGCGGCCAAGAAGAAGCTATGTTGCATCAGATTTGTTTGGATTTGATCCATCCCAAGTCTCTTTATGCATAGCGTATCCCCAAGGCTTGAAGCACTTGGTGTTTCTGAAAATCCTATCGTATACTGTATACTGTATATATACTATATATATATATCTGATGGGGATAAAAAAATATACTATCATACTATTTTTATAGAAACTATATGATATGTATGAAACTATTCCATTTTTGTTTCTTTATCCCCCCCAAATATCTTCTTATATAAATCCCAGAGGTGGGAAGCAAATCTGCAGGAAATCGCCCAGAAAATTCTCTGTAAAAGTCGTGGTTTCCTTCAGATCTTCCCTTCAATTTATATAGGGATAATGATTAATCTCTGGATTCATTGGTAACCTATTGCCCTAACAACCCCCCAGTCGTCACTGGTATCCACAATTGCCTAAAGGGGATATAGAGATGGCAAATCCAATTTGTTATGAGATTTAATGGGGTTGTAATAGGGTTTTAATGGTGGTTTAATGTGGATGTAATGAACATAAATATCATGGATTATGATAATTTGGATGAATTACCATGACCTCACGTCGTTTCGTCACTGGAATGATGTTTTGTTTCGTATACGGAGAATCATCCCCAAATGGCCATATGATCACAACATGTTTTATTTTCAGCTTCGGGAACTATTATAATTAGAAGATATGGTATCTGGTTGATGGTTTGGAACATGAAATTTATGACTTCCCAACCAGGTTAGATCTACAGTTTATTGACCAATAATTGCATATTTGACTGGTTGATGGTTTGGAACAATGGAAATTTATGACTGTCCACAATAATATGGGAATTTCATCATCATCCCAACTGACGAACTCATATTTTTCAGAGGGCTAGGTTCAAACCACCAACCAGAGATAAGGATCATCCCGGAGGTACCGCCTCCATTTGGTTCAGGGATTTTCCAACCAGCCATGTTTTTGATTGGTGGAGGGTAAATCCATGTAAATCCATGATTTTCCGGTTCATATCCTATTAATATCACATGAACATCCCATTATTCTCCCTGTCATGTTCCCATCATATCCCTATAACTCCAGATTCTTGGTGGTTGAATTTTTATACCCCGTGGGAAGGTGAAAAGGTGAACAAACATTTCCATCCCAGCGATTTTCTGAGGCCGTTGTACTACTTCATGGACGAGCGTGGCAAGTCCATCCTCTTTCCCACCATCTTGGCCTCTTGTGCGGAGCCCAGACTGGCACGGGTGGGCTTGACATGGCTTGTGGCAAAGATTTTTTCTTTTGGTAGGTTTACAGTAGATGATAGATGATCTTTCGATGATTTATAGATAAATCGCTTTAGCGAAATTGCTTTAGAACTGCGTAAAAACATGTAAAAACCATCGTCCAACACCAAAGAAAACTAGGGCACCAGACAATCTGTGGGATTTTCTGTGGGATTTTCATCCGAAAAATTCTGGGGCTCCAGGACACCATCCTTGCGGCCCCTGCTCCAGGTTTCAGATCCGAGCAAAATCTCTAGGTTTTGAGGCGGGACTTGGCCGGCTGGTGACAATGATGAGTCAATGACCAATTATGGTGCATAATGTTAACTGATAATAGCGATGATGATGCTGATCTTGTAATAATTATATGTAATTCTACATATATATATATATATATGTATGCAGTATATATGTCATATATATATATGCAGTATATGTCATATATATATAAATAAAGATATAAAGAGTGATTTCAGTACGTCAGCACGCTGACTTTTCATGATAGCACTCACAAGAATTGCAGTCAATATCAATCATAGCCAATTCACAAACATAGTCTGATTGGTGGTTTGGAACATGGCTTTTATTTTCCATTTCATATATGGGTTGTCACCCTTCCCATTGACGAACTCATATGTTTCATATGTTTCAAGATGGTTATTGCACCACCAACCAGATTATTATTAACCATCATTAACCAAATATTAACCATATAATGACCATATATTAACCAAATATTAACCATATATTGACCGGGTAACCCATTTTTGGGATCCCCCCAAAAAAATCCATGATCCTACAGATCTGCCTATTCAATGAGGCTGAGTTTTTCCAGCGGCTTGGGGAATCCAAACATAATCTATGATGGAATCATGTTGGATTATGTATGAATTTATGAGTTATAATGAACATGTATGAATAAATCCATCATGTATGAATCATGTATAATTTATGATTGATTTGATGGATTTACATGAATCATTTATGTAACATGAATCATGGGAATCCATGGGTATATATAATATACTGTATATATATATATATGTAATGAATACGGTAATATGGTTAGGTGGATTTATATTATTGCATATTATTCCCATCCCATCTCTAAGCATAGGGAAATCATCCAACTAACCATTACCTATCATGGAATCATATGATATGATCCATAGGGATGTAATGGAATAATATAGTTGGATTGTATGTATATAGCTATAATATGCTATAATTATGCAATCCAACGTTCCACCATGGCCAAGGGTTATCAAGATGGGCTTCCCATTCGCCATTGGCGAAATTTCCCATGGGCGAACGACGACTCGTGGATTTGGGATTTGGGGTAGCATATTTTAAGACAAACCCAGGTTAGATCCACATTTGATTGACCAATATTTGCATACCCTCTGGTAATTTGTTACATAGCTGACATAGCTATATGGCCATAGAAATAGTGAGTATTCCCAAATTCAAAATGGTGATTTTCCACAGTTTTTTGTATGTTTACCAGAGGGTATCCACAGTTTATTGACCAATATTGATCGATATTACATATTTGATGACTCTGCTGACTGATCTCCCCTAGTTTCACTCTGAGAATGTAGGCTTTCGTCTTGGGCGTGCAGCTTCACTAGGGTGTTGGTTGCTGCTACGTGTCAGGTCATATCTAGGAAGTATGGGCACAACATTGTACAATCCCCAGGATGTCCAAAGACGATTAAACACATATCTTCCCCACGTAGTTCAACTACCCAGAAGGTCTCAATGTTTTCCATCTTGGAATTGGGTACCTCCCAAAAAAGATGCGGAAGTGGGTGTTTATCCCAATGATTTTTTGGGAGAATTCACAAAAAACTTTATTTTTTCTTGGGGCCATGACCGATTTTGTTTTGAAGGCCATGACCGAAATGATACGAGACCATGCCATAACCTGGGGCTCATCCGCGAGCGCGCATGCTAGACTTCTACTGTCAGTGCCATAGTTCTATCGCAAGGCCACCCCACAGCCAAATCGCTAAAACAAAACTCCAAATTCTTGATATCTTCAAATTTCCAATCTGACTTGTCACTCGATTTCAATAGATTGACAGTACCCCCACCTTTGTTCGCATTGAACCCTCCACCCTCGTGGTTTTAGAACGTTGTGGAGGTCTGAGATGAACATGTCGCTGGTTCGCAGCTATTTGGCGAGTCAGATGAATCTTCAGGGTGGAGAGGAGGCCGCGGTTTGGGTGTATCTAAGTATGTCGAAGTGGAGATCAATTGAGTCATGAACACTATATTAGGCGTTTTATACTGATGAATGGGGATCAATGGGGATTAATGAGACAATGTAGTGGTACAATGGGAATATTATGGGATATAATGTATAATCTTGCTAAATCATAACGACCTCATTGTTCTCCCGAACCCTGGAATGATGATTAGTAAGGGGAATTATCCCCATTTACCGAGATCAATGGAGTCACAAAAGTCAAAAATTGATTGGACGCGGTAAACGTTTACCCATTATGGGTTTAATCTGGCGGCCAGTGGGTGTCTATCAAGAAACGTTAATATATGGTATTTATGTTATTTATGGTATTTATATGCTTATATTACAGCATTATATATTGTTTTGACCCATGATTGGGAAGATTTAACAGGTATCTTTGGTGTACAAATACCCGGTTTTTATTTTCGAAACTGTTCGAATTTTTCAAATCCAGGTGAACCAGGCCTTGAACCAGGCGAGGGGCTGAGCCTTTTTTCAACCAGGAATTCACTGGGATGATTCCATGAATGTACACATATATTTATAGCCAGTGAATTCCAGTGTTTATATTGGGATAACAGTTAACAAAAAAAAGCACGTTTAATTAAGTATTAACTATAATCATTTAAGTATTAATTAACCATAATTAACCCATGGTTAACTGATATTAAGTATTAACTACAACTATTTAAGTGTAGCCAGTTCACCACTTTTGACACATTTTTTTTCAGTATTCCTTTCCCAGAACCATTGATTCTTTTGGACATCCCAAATAGCCATAGTTGCATCGTAGCCCGCCTGACCTTTCCCTAAGGACAGTAGTTTGATGGGGTACGGCCCGTACTAGTTTACTTCGAATGAATCATAATGTTTAACTAGATCAATGGTCATTCCAGGATCCTAAAATGGAGGTACTGTACCATATAAGGCCATATTCTGGGGGTATATCCCCTTACATAGGCCTTACATAGCCCTTATATATGGTAGGTACCTCCAATTTAGGTTCCTGAAATGGCCGTTGACTAGATTGCAGTCAAATCCCCATGTCAGCTGAGTTTAGATCAGCATTAATGTTGGTCTTCCGAGACGTGTTTTTCTCCAAAAGTGTTTATCTATTGTTGGTCGTACATCTTCCAGTTATGATTGCTTAGAATTTCATTGAATGCCACTAAATTCCTTGTATTTCCCAATATGCCATGATTTGGAACATGATATCTCCTATCGAAATCGTCATAATTTGGGGGTACGGTAAAATCCACCTTTCCATGGTTGGTTAGAATAAAATTATCCAGAGCTTAAATCCAATTTTTCATGTTGAACTTGTCCAAATATCCAACTTTTGATGGTTGTAAATTCAGTTCAAGTATGTTTGTCAGGGCAAATCCCCTCTCAGATAGCCATGATCCATGAACATCTCATATTTTCCATTGTTACCCTCTGGTAAACATACAAAAAACCATGGAAAATCACAATTTTTGATGGCTAAATCAACTAAATGGCCATTTTCAATAGCAAACTGTTAGAAATTACCAGAGGGTAAGTCATGGCCCCCTGATTTTCAGTCCGAGCGCCGTCCGACAAAATCATTTGGAGGTGCCGGGCCTGCCAACCTTTGCGAGTCGCTTCCCACCAGAGCTTTGGGAGGCTGGTGATGTTTTTTTTATATACGCTTTGCTATTTTATACCCTCTGGTAATTTAACATAACTATGGAAAATCACCATTTTTAATGGGAAAATCCACTATAAATGGCCATTTTCAATAGCTATGTTAGTTTACCAGAGGGTAAACATTGGACACCACCATTTGGGTTTGTCTGAAAATGTTGGGTTAATATTCCCAATGAACTAGCCATTTAAAAACGGGATAATGATCAGCAAAACCATTGGGTTTAGGGGTACACTATTTTCAGACACCACCATGTTTTGTTTTTTACATGTTTCGTTCATGTTTTTCTTAGGTTTTTTCCACGGTTTTTTTCATAGCCCATAGGATCCATGGTGCTGCTATATATGGTGCTCCATGGATCCCATCAATATACCCCAGTCATGTTAGCATTAATATACCAGCACCATGGATCCGTCATGGGTAGGATCTTTTCTGGATTTGCCGAGTCGATATGGTGGTGATCAAATAAATCAGTAGATCTACCATAGATCTGTGGTAAAATATCATAAAAATATGGTAGATCATAAATTTAATGATATTTTAATGGTGCTACATTGGTACATCAGCTGAATAGATCAATTTTTTGTCACTTGGAGTGGAAAATCTAGCTTTTTTGTAACTTGGAGCTGAGTTGATGATGGATTTTTCCCCTTGGAGATGACTCCAAAAAAAATCCAGACGGTTTTTTTCGAGGGAGATTGAAGGATTTTGTTTTGTTCGTCTCGGAAGTTAATTTACACCATTTATATCATCAACTGTATCCCGGAAGTTATATTTTGTTTCAACCCATCAATACTATGGGAATACAGTTGATTGTACCGTAGACATATGCTTCACATAATCTACGGATATCATTGGATTAGTTTTGTTAAATGGGAAAGCCTCGATTGCATATTGTGTGTTACCCTCTGGTAATTCAACATAACTATGGAAAATCACCATTTTTCATGGGAAAATCCACTATAAATGGCCATTTTCAAAAGCAAACTGTTAGAAATTACCAGAGGGTACATATTGTGTGTTATACCATCTGGTTATGACTAACAGCTCGCCATGGAAAATCCCATTTTTGAGTTCGGTTTTTCCCATCTATTTCGATTAGGGCCATGTACCATGGCTATGTTAAATAACCAGAGGGTAACCAAAACAAATCGATTGCGTTGTCTTGAGATTTTCCACGTTGACATCCGTGTGGGATCCATGATTCAGGCATTGATGGGATGAACAAAACACATCAAAAGACCATGGGAATTCAGGTTGAGAAACCACGCTTATCCATTTGTGGGTCTAAATAGTTGCCCACCCCTCAAATTTGGATGGTTTAGCACTGATCCAGCTTGTTTGGTCAGTTGCTATTGTGAATTATATAAAACTTGACCCACGCTCTAAGATGCATGGGGGTGATATTTTTGTATGGGGTCAAGCATGGAAAACCAACAGGGGACCCCCAAAACATCTATCAAACTCAAACTCTGTGATTCATCATCATTGATTTTCGGTAGCCGCGCATAATAAAATGAGAAACTCGGTAACTTGGTAACTTGACTTAGTTTCCCAAATCTTGATATATTTGTTCAGGACAGTCTGAAAAATCTTGATACTTCAAACTGATCAAACCTTCCGCCTCAGGGGTCAACATCGCTTTTTTTTAATTTTTGCATCAACGATTTTGGCGATGTTTGCCGTGCTGCCCCTGTGCGCTTGATATTCCCACAGTCATGGTGAGCAAACATCACCGATTTATCGGATGTGTCAATGAAAAACATCGGCTATGCATAGTTCATGAAGTTGTAGCATTTTCTGAGTCGAAAATCATGAAGAATCAGAACAGAATCATTCAATATATGCACCCCAGATGCTCCATGGTGCTGGAATGGTTACCTTTACATTGACCTCCTATATTCATCTCAAATGTAAGTAAGTATTCGAACTAAACATCCTTCAGCATTCACCAGAAATGCGGTCCGACCCAACACGAGACGTTCGTGTCAGGAAGCTATAGCCTTCTTCGATGCAAACTGAGGTGCTGCTCGGGCTTCAGTTTATGGAGGATTCTGAGTGGTTTCAACCATCATGGTTTGTTTCGGGTAGGATTCTCCCAACATGTGCATTATTTATCATTATTTAAGGTGCATTTCTCAGTTTTCCAATGAATTCTTCTGATTTGCCCGGAGTTATATACACCAACCCAACAAAAGTGGACCACCTTGCTGTATCGCCGCAGGCCACATGTTGCCAGCAACGGCGCAAGTCGACGTTGCGCCTTGGTCGGCGACCTTTGTACAAAGCCCTTCGCACCGGGCACGGCAGTGGGCGTTGGGAGTTGCGATGCTACAGCGATGTGGGAACTCATCCAACAATAGCTCGGAATATCCCAGATGCATGGAATATTTACCTACATTAACCCCCCCAAAATAGCGAGAACATGTAGGTCAATATTCCAGCACCATGGAGCATATGGGTATTTTGTGGTATTTTATAATGATGCCATTTTCATCCATTTCCATCCATTTCCCAAATGTTAGTTTACCCCAGCACAAACATTGAAAAATCATGAAAACATGTGATTTCACCAATGAATCCTGGATAATCTGGATAAATGCTGACTTTTTGATACACTTCAATGGTGACTAAATGGTATATCATTTAAATGTATCAAGTCGTCGAGGAGTTTCAGCCACATCTGGGGGCAAGATCCAGTAGCCTGTGTACCCACAACGGCGCTCAAGAGAGCGTGCAAGGGCGAAGCGCAAGGCCTTGAATCATATGATAATCTAATCAGGATTTCGAACAACCCCCATATTTATTTATTTATATATATATATATACACACATTTATTTATATATATACAGTATATATATATATTTGTATGTCTGTCCATATATATATATATACACACATGTATACGAGAGGGGACTCACTTATTTGATGACGCACTTGACAGAAACCATAAATTTAACGACCGTGGCGCATATCATATTTGCAGAAGTGGTGTGGTGAGTATAGATACAGTGTCATTGGAATGGTAAATGTTGGTGTAATCGAAAGTTGGAACCAAATGCTTTGTGTCAACCACCAACGGTTAAGGCTGGTGTATTCCAGCACGTACTGTAGCTGGAGAATAACCATGTCATACCCCAGCTATGGGTTATCACTAAGTGGGATGCACATCGAACTTGTGGTTTCAGCAGTTTCCACGTACCTGGATTTGGGTTTTGTCGATGATTGCTTGCATTTTCCCAATGGGAACTCCACTAGACATTAGGAATCTATATCGGGAATTAGTTAAAAAAGAAAAATGGAGGGGTTCCTTAAGCAAATCCAAAATTATAGTGTTGCCGGGAAAAAAACGATCAAAAACGCGTAGATCTCCCAGCTGCCACGTTCCACGTTCCGTGCCGACTTGCGGTGTGAAGTTACCAAGTTCATCCGTTGAAACTGGATCCGTAATGGGGATAGGACGGATGTGAAGGGTCAGTCTCAAGCGAAAAAAAACACGGGCCCCAGTCACTCCTGAAGCCACGCATTTTTCTTTTGTCTCATATGAAAATATAATACCAACCTCCTGCTTTAAAGCCTGAAATCATGAATTGGGGGGCCCATATGGGGCAAGATCGGGACATTTCATGTGCGAGGGACCGGATTGGTGTACTCACAGTTGATACTTATATATTATATATATAGGAACCATGAAAAAGTTAGAACCAAAAAAAATATTTTAGGATGATTTTACTTTCTACTACTGGTTGCTGATGTTGGTATTTGAAACTCTGACTGGGTGACTGGGAGTTCCTCCTCTTGAGACGCGGCGCCACTTATCAGAGGGGCCAGGACAAAGATCATGCCATTGACTGCATCTTTACCCAGTAAACCCGGTAAACCAAGAGTTTGCGAACTGGAAAATCAGAATTTGACTTAAAGGTAAATCAAGTATTTCGACTGGGCCATTGTGTTTCAAGTTTGCTGTGTTTTGCCAGGGGATAGCCCATCGACATTTTGAATCTGCATAGACATCCTGGAGTTCCAGTAGGATTTCCAATCTCAGTGACGAACTGTTCCTGTGCCCCTGCCATGACGCGAGCACCGGGTGTTTCTGAAAGGATCTGCGGCCAAAACCATGTATATAATATATATATAGCAACCAAAGATGGAAAAGGTTAAGTTGACATAAATTGACTACCATTTTAGAAACGGATTTTATCTGCCTTTTTTTTGGGGGGGGTTAGAGTGGAAATATGTAATCTTGGGTACCCAGTAAGAAACATGGGGATCAAGAAGGTGATGTAGAAAGTGGGGACCGGAAAGTGGTTGCTTTGTGCAGCCATTCAACTGTTATAGATTTGTTGATCATCACAGATGGTTTGCTGGAAAACGCCATGGAAATATAGTTTGATGAGATTTTTCCATTCAAACCTCCATTCATAGTGGGGGATAATCCTATTGGAGTTGTAAACCAACTGGCCTATTCAGGTGGTCGGCACCATGTACCTCCCCACAAGAGTTTCCGCACTGAAGGCGGACGTTTTTCCATGTCAAACTTTGATCTCCAGTGAACTGCAATACACCAGGAAAATCCGTGAAAGTCCGCCGTCCGTCGAATGATCAACGGAAAATACCCACGGATTTCCAGGTGTTTTGGTTGATCAGAGGCTAGATGGTTTTTGATGGTTTTTCTTCAGGATGGTGTGTTTTTCACCACACCAATCAAAACCCATTTTTTTTTGCGAAATCACGGCGAGTTTTGGAGACCTTTTTTGATCCTAACACCCTGTGGACGCGGCGAGTTTAGTCCCAGACGCGCCTTCGTCCAAAGACGGGTGAATCATGTAGGTGAAACAATGTCATTTGCACCACCCACTAGGAATGATTAAACAAACACCATCAAACACCTATAAAAATGGTGATGACTGAGGGATGGTTCATAATTGTTTTACCTACGTTATATTTATATCCACCTTTTTCAATTCACGGAGGGAGATTTGATCCACTTTGTGAGTCCAAGGTGAACCGGATTTTCTCCACAACTTCAAGGACGAATGGAATTGATATGTTCCTAGTAACTAGTATTTATTGGAACTTTAAGATGTCATTCGAATGTACAGCAAGTGGAACTTCAACAACTATGAATATATTCTTATATAATATCTATGTGTGTTCTGTCATTGTCCCTCTATTTTTTTTTGAAACTACCAAAACAATCCCGAATGAAATATGTGTAAAGCGGTCAAAGCAAAGTTTGGCGTCGCCAAAACGCCTGGTTCACAACTTGTGGTTGCTCTATCTGTGTTCAATTCCTGTTCCAAAGTTGTGACGGCATCTTAAATGATGGTCCCAAGTATAGACATTCAGGGGAGCAACAAATAACCACGTAGCCTCTGGTTATTTGGCATAGCTATGGAAGATGAACCATAGAAATAGATAATTATTATATTTTACGATGATTTACCTAACAGGGTGATTTTCCAGTTCGCAAAACGTTTTCCATGACAAGAGGGCAATCGGCAAAAATCTGATCACTTCATTTCCGTCATTTCCTACTATAGTTATGGTCCTCTACCAGTTTTAAGTACTAACAATCCAATTTATGGATATTTATGGAATGTGTAATCCCATGTGTAACCAGTTATAACTAATAAATGGCCATAGCTGTGGCCATTTGTTTGTTCTGATTGGTTCCTTACGTCGTGATCATCCAGGCATTGAAATCACGGTTTTCCGCACCGTCAAAAAGACCGTCGCGTCGTTTCTGCCAGCTCCGTCGTTGTTTTTTGCTGCCGTCAATCGACGGGTTTCTCTGATGCTGTGATGATATGGCAATGGGTCAATGGTAAACCCTCAAAAGCACAGAAAAAGACGACCTCAAACCATAACGATGGCAACTTTTGGACGAATAATTTCCGAATAATCCTTAGCATGGCGTAAAAAATCTAGTTTCACGGGATATGTTCACCATAATTTGGCACTTTTTACCCAGAACGAAGCCATTTTTGATGTGGATTTCGGTCAGGGGATTATTTGGGATCATCCCTGGCTTATGGTAGGGTGAGACGCCAGTCACCAGCGATGGTGAAGGTTGTATCTTCAGATAGGGAATATTCAATAGATACTACAGGTAGAATTACCATCTGGTTATGACTAACAGCAATAGCCATGGAAAGATCCACCATGCTATTAAGAACGGTAAACCATCTATTTCTATGGGCCATTTTCCATGGCTATGTTAAATAACCAGAGGGTAATATGAATTATAAAAATAATTTACATTTTTTTTATCGACATGTTTCATCCTGGCCTTCTGAAACCTTCGAGTTAGTACCCCGAGTTGCGCTGGTGGATCGAGTTGCGCGAGAGAAAAGGACAAGTTGGGTCATGAATTCGGAATGATTTTAGACTGTAAACATGCAGATATAACCCTTTGAAACTGGGGTACAATCATGATAAAGTCATTTTTCAAGTCAACAAACAAGTCGTGATTCGAGCAACCAAATATGGAATCTCAGTATATAATTAAAAAATGTGTATACATATATACTGTATATATATATAATGATATATACTGTAGACAAACCAGCTGAAGGAAATTGTTTAAGCAACACTTGCTAAGAAATGTTCAACCGCTCGCTGGGCTTTCCCTCATTTCTATTTTTCCACCTCTGGGTATGCCATACCCATGATACTAAGAAATTCCATAGCCATGAGGAATCCTAATCAGTTATACTGTCTGGTTGGTGGTTTGGAACATTTTTTATTTTCCATAATATATGGGATAGTCATCCCAGCTGACTAATATTTTTCAGGGGAATTGAAACCACCAACCAGATGTGTTTGATGAAGATTTCAAAAGGTGCTGAGAAAGAAAGAGAGAGAAAGAGAGAGTGTGTGTGTGAGGGACGAGCTGTATGTACTGAGTCATGGAAGATGCGTGATGTTGGTTGATCTAAGTGACTTGGTTGCCTACCCGGCCAACTACTTGTGAGATAAACGTTCATTACTATAAATAAGTATATGATAGTGTATCTATATATATATACTTCAGTACATTACTTAACTTAGAAAAAATCTTCGTGATACGTTGGCGCTTACTGCTCTTAAGAAAATGGTCGTCCGCTGATGCCTGCAGCGCTTGGCCCAAGAAAAGCGAGAACGAAGCCGGACAAAAGACCGAGGTTCCCGTCGGAAGTCCCAGAGTTGGTCATGGGGTCATGGGGTTGTCTTGAAAAAAGGGAGTATATCATGAATCATGGTGATATACAATAGTTGTGTTGAAATACCAGAGTGTACATAATGGTCTATTATCCATGATGATGATGGGTGTCAAATATGATTTAACCCTCTGGTAATTTGT